AGACCGGATTCTCCAAGAAATTACCTTTCGAACAATTGATGCATTATACGTCATTTACGATACGATTATAAGATGTGTTGTATAGTTTGGAGATACATAGCGACGTGCGCGTTGATGTTTTTATTTATTTTTATAATCACCGGATGGAGTTGAAGGTTTATTGAATCCTTTCTTCACGAATGTTTTTTATCGGATTGATCCTTCACAGGATGTCAAATGAGGACATTTGAATTTCTCTTCTTCTCTTTTTTGGCGCATCTCGTCTTGTATTTATTTATTTATCCCCAGAGGTGCTTTGGGAACAAGGGGAGGGTGGGTCATAAATTGAATGGATGGATGGGTAGTTTAGTGCGCATGGTTGGATTTGATACCTTGGTGTTCTTAAGAGTTGATGGATAGGTATGGGAGGGTGGCAATGGATATGGAGTGTGTAGGGTCGATGAGGAATACATATTATCAATTAAACTACCTACATATATCTATCTATATTATGAAGAAAGACACTCTACTCTACTCTTATCTTAGGTGTCTATAGAAATTCCATGACAGGTATTGGTTTGAATGATTGAATGTGTTTTCAATGCTTTATTAATGAATGTTCATCTGATTGATTGTTCTGGGGAAATCTTCTAGAAGGGTACTTTACTTACTAGATCGCGTTAGATCAACAGATATCCGAGGTCGGTCAGTCGGCTCAGCTCGGCGGACATGGATAGGTGGGTCATTGGATGGGATGGATTGGATGGGATGGATGGGATGGGGTGAGCTTTCCCCGCATTTTGGTAGGATGAGAATCGAGACGTCATGGTATATGTACTGGGTATGTGTATGTATGGATACGTGTTTGAATGAACTGTTCTGATTCCTACACGCAAGCAAAGGCATAAATAAGGAAGGAAAGAATAAGGAAGGAAAGAAGGAAAGAAGGAAGGAAGGAAGGAAGAAAGGGTATATATAGATTGAGCTTAGCATTTCTTGAGGCATCGATTAGATTGATTGATTGAGTGATTGATTGATTTGATTGATTGATAGGGAAGGATAGCTTTTGCGAGGGTGACGACGGTTTATTATACGGGACGAGCGGAACGTGTTGAGGATACGAGTGAGTTTTGTGGGTTGGGATTGGATTGCATTGCATTGCATTGGATAGGAGGGATAGTGAGAAATAGGGATTGGGAATTGAAGGAATTGAGATTGAGAACGTAGTTTGGGACGAGAGAAGGATAGGAATAGGGAGGAGAGGAAAGGAGATACGATACGAAACGACACGACACGAAACGAACGAGGAAGGAAACGAGAGTAAGAAAGGATACGAATAAAAATAAACGGTATAAGTTAACACGGAAGAGACAGACATATAGACAGAAATTGCAAAGATGTCGGCGATACGGGTTGCTCCTACGGTTAGTGGTTTTAGTTTTTCTCCTCCTTTTTTGGGTTTGAGTTTGGGTTTGGGTTTGGGTTTGAGGTGATTTGGTTTGGGTCTGGTTTCGGGTAGAGTGGTGATGGTGATGGTGAGAATGAGAAGGTGAGAATAAGGGGGTGAGAGGGTTTGTATTGGAGATACTGGTATACGGTAGATAGATAGAGGAAATGGGTAGATAGGCAGATGGGCAGATCAGAGATGAGAAAGTTCGAGCGCAGCGAGGTCTGGGGGTCTGGGGGCTTGCCCCATGATTATCGAAGGGAATGAACTGGTGAAGGGGGAAAAGAGGGAATTTCTCATTTGCATTACATTTCATCTACAAACAAACAAACGCAAAGCTAACATCCCCTCTCCAGAAAGCCGCTCGAGCCATGAGCCTCCTCCGCACAATCCAATACACGCACCCCCCCTCCTGTCCCTGCCACAACAATCCCTCGCACCATCACCACCACCCTAGCTCCTCTCTCCTCTCTCAGACCAAACGCAATCTCCAGCGTAACTACGCCACGCCTATGGATCCTACCCGCGAAAAAGAATATGCGTTTGAGATGGCGGCTTCGTCGATACGGTTTGGACCGGGGGTGACGAGGGAGGTGGGTATGGATTTTAAGAATTTGGGGAGTAAGAGGGTGCTTGTGGTGACGGATAAGGTGGTAAGGGAGTTGGAGGCGATGAAGCAGGTTAGGGAGGGTCTTGGGAGGGAGGGGGTGGAGTTTGAGGTTTTTGAGGGGACGAGGGTCGAGCCGAAGGATACGAGGTGGGTTTGTTTGTTTGTTTGTTTTTGGGGAGAGAGAGGGTTCTTTTTTTCAGTCATGATCTTTGCACTCTTTCGTTCGTGTGGTCAAAGAGTCAGAGAAAATGCACTGCTTCAAGTGGAGCAAACGTATCAATCTCAGAAACGTGATGCAATTCCTGCAAATTGCTGTATTCGAAATGAATAAATCTTCTAACAGATGAATAGTATCAAAGAAGCAATCGAATTCTCCAAGAATTATCAACCAGATGCTTTTCTAGCAGTTGGTGGTGGCTCAGTTATCGACACTGCCAAACTCATGAATCTGTATACTTGTTATCCAGATGCCGATTTCATGGACTTTGTAAATGCACCACTTGGTAAAGGTAGACCCATAGATAAAACTCTCTTACCTCTCATAGCCGTTCCCACCACTGCAGGAACCGGCTCGGAAACAACCGGTACCGCTATCTTCGATCTCGTCTCCCACAAGGCGAAAACGGGTATCGCTCACAGAAACCTCAAACCCCTCCTCGGTATATGCGATCCTCTCAATACACGCACCATGCCATCAGCTGTACACGCTAGCTCAGGTTTAGACGTTCTCTGTCATAGTTTGGAAAGTTGGACCGCAATCCCATATTATGAGAGGACGCCCAGACCTCAAAACCCAATCATGAGACCGGCGTATCAGGGTGCAAATCCTATTAGTGATATTTTTTCTCTACAGGCGTTGAAGAGCACGGCGAAGTATTTGCCGAGGGCGACGAAAGATCCCGAGGATTATGAGGCGCAGAGTCAGATGTTGTTGGCTGCTACTTTGGCGGGAGTGGGATTTGGTAATGCGGGGGTTCATTTGTGTCATGGTATGTTGATTGGTTTCTTTTTCTTGGTTGGGTGGTGGTAGGCGATGTTGGTTGGCTTAGTGTGTGGAATGACACAGATTGCAGGCTCGAAGGGAAGAGCTTTGAAGGTTGAAGTTGTTTCGATTATTGAGTTCATTCGAGAGAATAGACTTGATGAGATGATCGAAGCATTTTCGAGACTTCAAGCTTGACGTATTTCGGCTTTGACTGCAGTCTGGACTGTAGTCTGGACTGTTGAACAAACTATATGACTCTTAAGTTATATCAGCGATTACCAACACAACATCGACTAGCTGTATTATATTCTTCTTCCAAACCATATACTAACACACACAGGAATGTCCTACCCAATATCCGGTCAAAATCCCGGCTACACGCATCCCGGCTACGTAACCAAAACTCCCATCATTCCCCACGGCGTATCCGTTGCCGTTTCCGCCCCCGCCGTCTTCCGCTTCACCGGTGCATCGAACCCGGAACGACATCTCCAAGCAGCAGAATGTTTCGGTGTTGATATCTCAAATGTAAAGAAGGAAAGCGCGGGTGCGATTTTAGCAGAAGCGTTGGAGAGGTTCCTAGAGGAGTTGGGGGATCAACCGCGGGGACTGAAAGATTTGGGATTCAAGAGGGAACATATTGACGGGTTGATTGAGGGGACCTTGCCGCAGAAGAGAGTGCTGATGTTGGCGCCAAATTTGGCCGAGGAGGTGGGCGAGGAGAGGGAACAGTTGAGAACGCTTTTTGAGGATGCTATGGGGAATTGATTTTGGTTTGTTAGGTTATTGGTTGTTGATTGTTTGATGGTTTGTTTTGGAATCTTTTATCTGTTTGCGTATGTCTGTATGTACCTACCTAAGTCTCAATCTGATTATGATTATTCAAGACCGTACGAAAGGTACATTGACAGTATTCTCTTATTCACTCCCAAGAAAGATCAACAAAACTCGGAGATAGAATAGCTTTGACTGTCTCTTGAATTCTGACTCTTCAATCTCGACCTTCTCACTGCTCTAAAGGGGGTTGAGAATTAGAATAACCCTCTTATTCACTTTCGGAGTCGCACAATGGGATTTTCTTATTTTTTGGGAATTCATGAGTATTTGTAAGGATGAGAAGGGATTAAGAGGGGAAAATTAAAAGATGGATTGATATTTATTCACTGCTTCTTTTTTTCTTTGTTTTTTCTCTAGGAAAGATTGGAAAAGATTATCTGTTTGGAAGACTAGATGGAAATGTTATATTGAATTCGAACTTTGTTATTTATTTGAGAAATTATTGAAGAACTAACTTTTTTTGTTTCTTTAGCTCTTCGACTTTTGATTCACGTTTCAACTTTTTATTTGATTCTTGCAAGTGAATAACACGTTGGTTGAGATAGAAATTGATCCTCTCAACTTGGAATTCGACTTTATCCGACTCTTTACTTCTTTACACACACGAACACTTACTTTGATTTAGATAGGCTGATCCATTTTTCACTTCCTGAGTGAGTCTATTGTATCAAAGGAACTTTGAGGTTTTTATGCAATTACAATCAATTGAGGGATTTGTGGGTTGGATTTCAGAGAATTGGTTAGATTTGAGAGAACCTTGATAATTGGAAAATTGAGAGGCTGTGGCCAGGAAGATTAAGGGTTGGATGAGAGGATAATTCCAAGACGCAGATGAAAGGAGTCTGGTTTATTTGATAATCATTTGGTTGATCCATTGTTGAATTGGGTGTTTATTGGAGAATTAGAGAAAGGAGAGGAGTTGAGAAAAGTTGCGACGGGGCTTTGAGTGAGCTTCGAACAACGTCTATCAATCCCTTCAGTTGGCATCGCGTCAAGTCGAATCAAGTCGCATCAGTTAACCGTCTTCCAACCATTGAACAAACATCTTTCAAGTTCGAACTATCGATCAATCAACTTTTAAGGAATACCTTCTCATCTTAAATTTTAATCTCTTTCACCCCTTTCACCTCACTACAATCAAAATGTCTCACCACCTCTCCTCCTTCTTCAAATCCGCCGCCGGCGTAGCCGAAAATGTCTGGGAAAGCGCTGCGAACAATCTCTCTAATAGTCCAAAACGCCATCGCGAGCGTGGTTTGACTGTTCGTCAAAGTCATCAACAATCTCAGCAAGCTCAGCAAGTTCAACAAGTTCAACCAAGACGCTTATTCCCAGCTGTAAGACCAGCGCCTGTTCCTGCTACTGCAACCGCAGGTCAACCTATTGGCCTTGGATTAGGCCTCGCTATGGAACTGGGTGATCATGAACACATTGGTATTCCAAGCGGTGTGGAAAACCAAAATCCACACACACCTTTAACTTCAAGTTCGGCTGTGGTGGTTGATGCAACTCGTACAAACACGACCAATATTCCTCCACCCTCAATCATGGCTCTCGCAAAAACCTCCAGCAAAAACACCCAAGGAAGTGCGAATAGTAAGGAGACAAGCACAACCAAGAGTGCAAATAGTTATAATCCGCTGGTTACTACAAGCTCGACATACACGAATCCGAGTGAGAATTTGCCGCCGACGCCGAATTTGAGGGCGGTGGATGAGGTGGGGAGGTTTGGGGATGTTGTTGGTGGTGGTGGTGGAGATGATGGCGAGGGAGAGAGCAGTGCAGGAGGAAGCACAAGTCAGAGTCAAAGTGAGGAGATTAGTCCGGTCGATGCATTGGGTATGTTTGGTCCTATTCCTGGCTCTGGATTTGTTTCTGCCTCTGGTGGTGGAGCGAGTGCAGGAGAAATCGGTGACACTGCGCATGAGCGAAGCGGGCGTCATGGAAGTATTAATATGCAGACTCCCACCGTCACAGCCTCGGGATCTCGAGTTCACAATTATCGAGGTGTTGATCATGGTCCTGTTGCGATTCCGGGCTCGGGCTCGGGTTCGGGTGTCAATACTCCAAGATTGAATGCTGCTGGACTCGGTACTTCTGGAGTAAACATGCAAGGGAGAGAACGCGCTTTTACGATTCCGAGAAAACCTGTCCCAATGACGATTGTAGTCGGTAATACAGGCTTAGAAGTCGTTCCTTATGGACGTCCTATTGAGGATATCGGAACTGGTGCGTGTATTGTTAATAGGCAGGAATGTGTAGATTGGAAAGACAGGTTTGAGGGACGAGGACGAGGACAAGGAGAAGATGAGGAAGAGGGTAGAGATGAAGGTGAAGGAGAAGAGAGAGAGGAGGTCGGTGAGAGCGAGGAGGAAAGAAAAGAAAGATTGGAGAAGGAGAGAAAGGAGAGAGAGAAGCGAGATCTGTGAGTTTTTTTATCCCTTTTGATTTTCAAGATTCTTTACAGTTCTTGAAGCTATCCAAGCTATTTTCTTACACTCACCATCCATCCCTCCAAGTCTCCGAGAACTAATATACCCCCAGCCTTCACGAAAATCCCCTCCTTTCCCATCCCATCGAGCCCACAACCATCGCCACCGGCACCCCACCCACCGTCTCCCCAACCTACATCGCCGCTACTTCCCTAAGTTCTAAACGTCGGGGTTTCCGTCGCTCCTGGACCGCGCCAATCAACGGCTTTAATTTCACCAACTTAGGTGGAATCGGCGTCATGGGTTTCGGAACCTCAAACCAAGATCCAAATATGCATGGAGTAATTGGGGATGCGGGAATGGGAATGAATCAGAGAGGTACCGCGAGAGATAGGTATTCTGGAAATAGTAGTGAGGGAGTGGGAATGGGAATGGGTTCTAGACGAGGAAGTTTTTTGCGCAGAGCAAGTGTGAGTTTTAGGGGGATGGGATTGGGGATGCAGGGATTTTTGAGGAGTGCAAGTGGTGGTGGTGGTGGTAGTGTATTTGCTGGAGCTGGAGCTGGTGGTGCTGCGGAAAGAATGGGTGTGAGTATGGATCATACACGTGAAAGTGAAGGTAGAAATGTGGGAATCGAGAGGCCGGTCACCATGCAATCGGAGTATAGAGGTGTAGGTGGGTATGTGGGGGACGAAGCAATGGCTGTTGCGCGGGAAAGAGTTGCGGAGGCTGGTATGTTATTTCTCTTTAGTTTCTTTTGTCTCATTTTTGGAGATGTTTTTTTGCATTTAGATTTAGGGAATGTTACTAATGGTTTGTTTGTTATGGATAGAAACTCAACAACGAAGAAGCCATCGCCAATCAATGGTCCTGCCAAAATTCGAATGGGAAGAAGAATTCAGAACTGCGGATGATGAGGGTGATGCTTAGGTTTTTGTATCGACTGTATAGTGGTAGTGCGTTACGAATACAGGGTGGTTTTATAGTACAATGGGAGGATGGTCTTAATCAAGGTTGCATGGTATGAGATCTGTGGCTGGATGGATAGATAGTTTTCATTTTTTTCTAGGGGTTGCTTGTTGCGGAGAGGATTGGACAGTTACAGCTAAAGGTGTCTAATGAGTGCTATGATATGATATGATATCGAGGAAATGGACGAATGGAGTATTTAATGAATGAATGCATGGATGGATATGGGTACAAAAATTAATGATAAAGAATAGCTAGACAGTCGAAATTTGTGAGGAAGTCTGGGGTGGGTGCTTGACTAGTGACGCACCCCACTTCACTTACTTACTGGGTAGAAAGATAATCACTTGAGAGATTTGAAATCGAGAGTTGCTTGCTTTTATTAGAATTGGTTTGGTGGGTATGGTGATCTGGTGATTTATTGTGAGTGTGAGTGTAAGTGCAGATGTGGATATATTTGTGGATGTGGATGTGAATGTAGTTGTAGTTGTAGATAAAGAACCATCTTGTCAGAATGCAGTTCATGAATATAGATCTGGAAATCTATGAATATATGAATACCTAGATATCAATGCCTACATTAAAGTCATTCGATATTGTATAACTAGCTCGGAAACGAACTCACTTGGCTTGTATACAAGACAGAAAGCCAGAAATGAAATGATCGTATGAGTACAAGAGTGCAAGAGTGCATGATCGAAAGATGCATAGCACCAAGAGAAGCATGTTTGACTTCGCTGAAAGTTTGTTTCTATATCTTTGTGTATATATTGAGACTAGAAATCCCTTCATTTTCCATTTTTCTTGTTTTGTTATAGTTGACGGAGAGATGGAGGGTTGTATAGAGAGGTGGTGTTAGGTAGATATTACCTATTGATGGATAGATTATAATGAATGTTCAATATGGTATCCTTTGATATTGGCATTTGGTCCTCCTTTTTGTTTGTTCCTCTATTTTCATTCTTAGCAGGTTGCCATGGTTCATCTGAAGGGTTACTGTAGTTTTGGAAATTGCGTGTGGACATAATAGTCGAGGTGAGTGAATAGTGGTAGGGATTCATAAGTCTAGGATTTGTCAGTATATTCGACTTTCTTGCTATTCGCTAGACAAGGTTCTTGGAATACTCAGTTGCAGGTACTGTATGATCTATGCTACCAGTAGAAGGCTGTACTACTGTCAAATCTCGGAAGCTAGTTATATATAAAGCTTTTCTCTCTCTCTCTCTCTCTCTCTCTCGTGTATTACTTCATCGGTAACTTCACAATCATTCTTCTATTTCTACATCTATTTTCTTTATTTCAGATCCAAATCAGTTGCATATTCCAAACTCCAATACATATTCACGAGGAAATCAAATCGATATCTAATCGTTCTTTGCTACTACATATCGACACTCTGTATATTTGAAGAAGAAAAATGTTAAGGAGACCTCCGACTCATCTTGAGCTCCTCTTCAGGACTAAGCCTGTCACCGAACAAGATGTCGAGAACGAACTGGCATCAAGAGCTAATGAACAAGTAATGCAAAGGGGATTAGATATATTTCATATTTATGAATTTTTCTGGCAAAATGGCGAGAGATATGTTTATGGCCCAGGTATGTTTTACAATCTTGTCTAGGGTTAATTTTGATGGCCATACTTACTGAAATCGCTTTAGACATTGGCTACTACGACACAAAGGTCCTTGAGTACAAGGAAGAATGGAATAATCATGATTGCTATTATGTCTCAACCATGGAAACCACATCTCTATCTTACGTTGATAGACCAAAACCAAACTCAGGTTTCGTCACACACATGAGTGAAAGACAATGGCATCTGCCTCGAAACCATCTCCATCACCTACTAAACTTCCCGCAAGGTATGTTATCATTCAAAACATAGAAACTTTGAATACTAATCTTTTCTCTTACAGAAATTCTCGATCTCATCCTGGACTTCACGTTGGTCATCAAAGATCATACTGTTACACCTGATGTCACTTTAAGCAATAAAAGAAGTTCATATAAAATTTCACATTCGTACACATTAGACGGCAAGAGATATGAGCCACCAGATTTCTACAACAGCGAAGACCCGGACCACCCGGTTCCATTGAGCACTATCATCACCAAGAAATATCATGATTCAAAGGGCGCATACTTCATGATTCACAGAGTTTATCGGCCAGTGATAGATGCGACAATACTTCGAGTTTGTAAGACCATTTCAGTTCAAGGGACAAGGATGTTGTATGAGAAGAACGTATTTCAGTTCTCCATGACGCAGATTAACAGTACTGGATGTCCAGGATATCTGGCTTTTGGAAAAGTATACAAGGACAATGTGACACTGAAGCACTACACTCGAAGACTATGGAGTTATAATCCCGATGGGTACTTTCTGATGGCAATTCATGCAATCGAAACGCAGGTATCAACGTATGATCTTGAAGACTATCTCTACCACGATCACTTCATCCGATTTTTACACGTCATTGGTCCCGCCAAAGCTGCTATGATTAAAAAGTTACATTTTCACGGAAGGATTGTTACACATAGGTGTAAGAGTCTTAAACGTGTACTGAATTGCGAGGAAGATTTGTATGAGAGCCTTCACTTATACATCCCGTTAATCAACAAGTTCTGTACCAGTCTCCAAACAATGGAGATTGGCATTGGAGAGGATAAGATGTATTTTCCAATTGTTCACACACAATCAAGGGCCATTGTCAGATTTAAAGCTCTCAATGAGCTGTTGAGAACACTGAAAACGGTTCGTCGTCTTGATATCTATCAGTTGAAGGAAGCTAAACCAACCTACAATATCGTTGAGCCTGGACCGATCAAGATAGTTCACACTTTCCCTGAACTTCATCGTAGGAGAGTAGTAGCGCTGGAAAGGAACGTTACCAGGTGGTTCAAAGAGAGAGCCGATAAGTGGGAACATGAGGAGAATGAGAGGCAGAAGATTCTTATGACTTTGGAGACACCACCCCCAAGAGGAGAAGAGTCGTGAATGCCTTAGATTTCCCTTGGTAGAATTTCAGCAGCATGGATGTCCTGGTCTAATAAAATCATGTCACTCAAATCTCTAGTTGATATTTTAGGACTTTAATAAGTATTCTTTGTGTAAAATTCTTGTGGAAAGCAAGGGAGTGGGTTCAATGGCAGATCAGTGGACTTCGGAAGATTCTGTTCCTAACTATATGGGATACAAAGTTGATTAGAATTCAATTCTATATTGTCGTGGGTAGTAATAGCCTTTTTAAGAGAATGAGTCTTCAGTACAATGTTTAAGAGCGTAACTCTGTGATAGGAAAATGAACAATATTTGACTTTGTGGTCACAATCTCAGGAACTGTCTGTTATGGCATGTTCTTCTCTATTCTGTTACACATATGTCTCATCCTCAGGTATCAAAATGTCTTGAATAATTTCATTTAGGTTTGTCCCCTATGACTAAATAAACAAATGTGAATAAGGAAAAAACAATTTCAAGTATAGTATTGGTGACCAATAGTTCTTGATATAACAACAGGATGAAGAATTCCATAAATATAATCAGATATCCAATCCTGAGCAAGAAGCACAAATAAACTGCCAAGGCTCATTTATCTCGCTAATGAGTGTCACATGTAGTTTGAACTGAAGTGGAAGGTTCCCGGGACTTGAAGGTTTTTTTGACAACAGAAAGTAGCTGCTTTTTCAAGGTCAAAGCCACTGCCATCTCGTGTTATCCTTAGTTTTGATAAACATTTCTTCGGACAACGCCATTGCCAAATTATTTGCTAAGCAATCTCCACAAATTGAGACTCGAAAGCTACAGCCAGGTTACCATATTAAACTATCGCGTTGAATCGTGTATTTTATGAGGTGAAGCCAGAAGGAAATGGATACAGAATCAATCGCTACACATGATAACTTTCTGTTATCAATCTCTATTTACTTTGATTCTTGGTAAGTTTTGTCACCACAACTATGAGTAATCCACATGGGATGCAGATTTAATCCATATATCTAATAAATTCACAGTGAACCTTAAACCATTTCCATTGCAGAAACTTAAGCTTTTCTGAAACATCTATCGAATCCAAGTTACAGCACGATGGTGCGACTTATCGACCCTTCAAAGCCGCAAGAGATGGATGAGATTTCAGCCCGCACAGGACAGAGCCAAGCCACTTCTTCAAGCGATGAAGAATCCAATCAAACGAATGGAATAGCTTCCAAGAGAGCTATTCCAGGCACAAAGGCTGCAATATCCAACGCGACAGAGCGTTTCAATCATGGGATTTGGATTGAGCCATCAGTCAAAGAGTCTGACTTGGATTGGAGACCTAGTGATGAGCAGTGGCTATTTGCTAATGATATCGGTTGGGGAGATAGTGCAGTCTCGCAAAGAATCGAGAACAAGATGTTCAAGCTTCTTCCGAAGGAAGTTGAGGGAGCGGAGAAGAAAGAGGTAAAACAGAGGGCAACTATCAGAAAGCGAAAGGCAATGAGTATACCTGAGTCTGATTCAACGAACGAGACGCCTGAGAGTACAGATAGACGAAGTCAGAGAGCACGCAAAAAGGTCACAACATATAATGACAGGGCTTTAGCTAAGATAGCTGTATTCAGAAACGAGTATCAGAGCGATAGTGATGCTCCAGAAGACACGGTCCGGCAACAAAAATCGTCACCGAAACAGCCTCAGATAGCTATGGAAGATCCAGTCAGTTCGCCTGCTAGATCAGAATCTGAGTCACCGAGCAGGGAGCCTGAAATCATTGAGAGACGAAGTGGACGAGCACGTACAAACGTCAAAACTTACAATACCAAGATTCTGGCTGGAACAGCTATACATACTCCGGCGAAGTACATGGGAAATCACACTCCAGGGGTTGAATCACGGCGGCTAAGTCTGTTATCTGGACGGCCTCGAAGAAAGGAAAAGGATTGAAGTTTTCTATACCAAATTAACATCAAGTTCAAAGTTTACAAAACGTGGATATAGAAAATCTCGGAAAACCTTGGGAAATACTGGAAGCTTATGGTACTCCACAACGCCTTTGGTATCCTTTTGCGTGGAAGTCTCTACCACAGAAATCTTTCACTATCATTTATCCTGAGCAAAGTACGCCAATGCGAAGAGATTTGACCGACGGAATGGAGATTAAAACTAGAGAGAACATATGTTGAAGGATTCAAAGATTCTGTCTAAAGTAAGCCAGCCCGTTACTTCCAAGGTGAGAGAGAACCGTCACAAGTAGCATCTGCTCAACAACCAGTGTAAGCAATTGTGGCACTTCATGTACAGAGAACTATTGTGGTTTCTGTTGAGATTAATTCAGAGATCAAGGAACAGTCATTTGGACTGAGCAGTCGTCAAACACAAAATTGGTGAATCAGAACAGACCTTGAATAATCGAGACGAAAAATCTTTTGGCTTTACAACGAAGAAATGTTTGATGAATGTGACTTCTCGTAGAGCACATAACTCATTGTAGACTTGTGAGCTTAACTAAAACCATTGTGAAGCGTTCTTCCATCCAAAGTTCCCTCTTTTAGTCTGTTCCGTCTTAAAAGACACATGTTAATGAATACGTAGATGAATCACCTTGTCTTTTGATTAAAGACTGAATAACAAAGCTGTTCTGATGAACTTATTGTCCCCCATAGTTATGATAGTGACCCTGTAGACTAGTTTTAATCATTTGAAAACCCTCTTTGATGTGTTCCAGTACAGTTTGCATTCTTCGGAATCTGTATGTCATTTTCTAAGATTGATAATTACTAAAGAAAATTTATTGGTGAATAAGGGATCATGAACTGCATACTGCGAATATTATCCCTTCTGTAATGTTTTTGTTGAATTGGGGATACAATCTGTTGGTATCACCTGGGGGAAGGGGGGTTATGACGTCTTCATAATAGGTATAATGCTTTGATTGATATTGTGTCTAATCTATTCTAGGTTCCAGAGCTACGAGGACTATATGCAATGCGTACGCTAGTGGAACTAGCGTGCTCACGTGCATATATTCACTCGTATCGCAACAACTAGACGTAACTGATACGTTCGTGATTGTGTCGTACTGAATACTATGAGGTATCAAGCAGTTCCATTGGAAGAAACTGGATAACTTCATGTGAATCCTCCAGAAAAAGCAATAGATGTGCTGCTGAGTACGGCATTGAAAAACAGGCGAGCATATCTTAGAGATATAAGATTGAATGTCTTTTGAAATAAGAAAAGCAGTTCTACTTTTTCATACATCATCGACGACCAAAATATAACCCCTCTCAAGATCGAGTATGAATTCACTTCTTTTCGGTATCAGAGGCACACTATATTCTGGGTCTGAGGCTGATGTACAAATTCCAATAAACTTGACAAATATCAACGAGATCAAGAGAGCAGCTCGAAAAGAATACCCGGATGAAAGTTTCGAGAATGCTTTTACGAAGTACGTTATCGAAAACTCAATCAAAGGTATAGAGTTCCAAAAGAATGGTAGACGGTTTGTTTTTGGCCCTGGTATATAATTTTCTGTCTCGTGTTAGTGTATGATTCATGCAATTATCTGTGCTAATAACTACCATGTAGATATAAAACTCTACCACAATAAACGACAGCGTCGTGGCGAGTTAGTCACTTTATTGTTCAACTCGGAGTATCGCAGGGCCCCTCGGCTCAATGAAGTCGATAGAACTTCTAACTTCATTCTGCGTTCTCGCAAGTTACTTGGTCTAGACCTTGGAGATTCTTGGAATCATCCTACATCGCACCCTCACCATATCCTGAAATTTCCAAAAGGTACGTGTAAGCACTTAAAATCCATGTAGTCGATGATGTACGTCCGAACGGTGCTTTTAATTTAACACCGTTCATGGCTGATCAATGTGTTGCGTATAGAAATTATCAACAGAATCCTTAGTTTTATTCTCGTTGTAGAAGAGAAACAAGATTCATTGGTCCCAGATACGATTACTTGTAACCTCGACAGCCCGATCCTCTATCGAGAAACAGACTACAGTGTTCATTGTTCCGAATATATTGGTCCCATATGCCAATCTGATCCCTGGTCTTACTCGCAGTACTCGACTCAATTCCGAAGAGAAGCTCACAGTGTTTGCAAGCCCAAAATAGGCAGTCAGACAGTGTTGAAAATGATTCATCTAGCTGACGATCGCTTCATCGACGCAAGTTGTTTACGTGTCTGTAAAGACTTTTACAATCTTTGTTCAGCGCTACTTTATCGAGACAACAGTTTTACTTTCACCACATATTTATCCAATATTCTACGTTCAGGAGTTGAAAGCGCTTACATGGTAGATGAAAATAACCCCCGAAAACGATACCTGTATGCGAAATTTGGGAAGCCAAATCCAAGTCTTCTCCCTCTCAGTGATTGGAATGATGAAATTGGTAAAAACATTTCCCAAATCCAGGATCCTTCCACGGTAGACCGAATGAGTTGGCTGTACTACGACCCATTTCTTCGATTCCTTCATACTATAGGTTTGGAAAATGCAGCCCTTTTGAAAACGCTTCAATTTACTGGGATAGCCAGGAAGTATGCAAACCCTTTACCTGGAGATCATATTGCCATCTCACCCTTGGATGACATGCGACTTAACTTACGAATTTACGTTAAATTTATCAACCAATTTTGTCCAGATGCACGGCAAATCACCTTGAACATTCATCCAGAAAATGGTGAAGATGGAAATTTAGAAGCGGACCTATTTCCGCTTTTGGGAAATCACATCAGGGAGCTCAAGACTGTCAAGACTTTAATATTACGTACTGTTGACGGGAGTGAGCCTGAGAAGTACGTTCCCATGAAATTTTCCCTTTCAACAGAGACAATGCAATGGTTTATGGAAAGAACAGCGGGAAGAGCAGCTGAGGATCGGAGACTGGCAGAATTTAGGTTTTAGGGGTTTATGAGGTAGAATTTACATCAGAAGCAGATGCTTTCTGGGCGCATTGTTAGGATTTCATTCTACCCATCTAGTTCTGTAAATATTCTTATGATAATACTTAACAAGAGATGCAACAATATTATTTGCGATATGGGCCAAGTGACTCACAGAACAGTGACGAACGTTATGTTCAGACATCATCAAATTGCACATGATAGATCACAGCTTTCTAAGCATTCACGACTTTTAGAACTGTTTTTCTAATTTAGAACACTAACAAGCAACCTATAAGTGCCCTTATTTGTCAAATCAGATAGAGCCTTATCATCTGAATGATACAGGATGTATTGATGGTGTAGGATCCAAAATCTAGGCTAGTATTTTTTAAGCGAGCGTGAGGTTTCTCTTTAGGGGGGTTTAAATTTTCCCCTAAGAAACGGCTCCGTATCACAAGATTACGATACATTTACAGTCAAATTCTTATCAATTGTGAAAATATCCAAGGTTGATCCGGAGTGCAAGATATTATGCAATTGATGATTTGAATCACGCAAATATTATTATAAATTACTGTACCTATGATTAATTGACAGCTTCTAAATCGCCACTGTTCATCGCGGTCGGCAAAGCGAGCGAAAGACAATAAGATATCAAAAATCTTACCAATATTTATAACATTAATAAGGGCAACATAAGTGCATGTTAAGACTTGGTCGGCTAGTTGTACCGATTGCTAGTGCTATTAGATGATTCACCCTCAAAGTAGAATGATTAATCACAAAATATGGTACGGCGTGAATCACGATGTAGTTTCTAGTACGGCATGTATATACAGAACGAAATTTCAGTTCAGAGTCAATATTTGACCGTACAAGTCACTATTGCTGATACATCGTTAGCATCTCGTTCAATTTTATGAAATAGATCTATGATAAGGGGTTAGTTGTGACGGTGATATTGGCTGCACTCTTTTGCTACGGTTGTTGGTATGGCCAGTGAGTCTTTGGCAAGTGGTTATAAGGAAAATAACTTCCCTCTTCAAAAAAGCTCTCTCGCTCTCCTTTCAATCTTTCATCAGGAACTTCTTTGATCAGGGACTTCCTTCATCAAAACTTCATCCATCAAGAACTTTGTCCTACATACATAATTTCAGATGAACTTATTAGATTCATTATCTAGCCATTTCATCCTTCCGTACAGACCAAAGATTTCTGCAAAAGAGAGAAAAGTTTATATCGAGAAACACAATTCTCAGAAAGAGCAGCTCCGTGCATCCACCGAGTACCCAGATCTTGCTCCAGAGGAGGCCCTTCAGAAACGAGTCCTTGCTCGCTGGATCCATAAACAATGGTTTGTGAAAGATGGAATACGTCATATCATTTGCAGAGGTATGTAAATCACTGAACAACTTCAATCATTCAATACACTCTAACTTAATAATCATTGTAGATATTGAATATTACCGTTATAAAGCCCAACCTCGACTGTGGAAAAATCTTTCGCGTTGGAGATCAACGACTGAGACTCAGATTTATGTCGATTATTGGGAAAGTCCGGTTCCGCTAAAGGGTGTGGACCGCGTAACTAAGGAGACACTTGCAGCTCGTGAAGCAATTGGGATTCATCCAAGTGAGGGAGGTTGGAATCTACCGAGATCTCACCCTAGACACTTGCTCAACTTTCCGCAGGGTAAATCTGCCATGATTAAACTTTTATGATCCCTTGTGTATAATGGCTAAGTTTTGTTCAACTATAGAGATTCTGGACAAGATTATTGGTTACAATCTCATTGTCGGGGAGGACATGGGCTCTATAGCCCCCAGAGCGATGACTAGTAACAAAAACAGCGACTACCAAGAAGCCCATTACCAAATCGCTCGCCCTCCTTACCCTGGACCTGTTCGCCAAGATCTTCCACGTAATGGATACCGTGTGTATGCCTTTGCTGAAAAATATCATCCATCCATTGGAATGTTTGGAGATACTTTTTTCGAGAGTGGACCGCAATCCATCAAGAAATCTGAATTGAGCGATGAAGTCGGGCCTTACATTCAGTTGCAAAATCTTTTACGTCCAATGATTGATGCAAGCTGTCTCAGAGCATGCAAAGCTTTCCACGGTTATGGCACGGAGATGTTGTACAGACACAATAATTTTACGTTTGACATTCCAACTTATAGGAATCCGAGAAAATACATGATGTACGATCAAGATGGACCTCGATCAACCTCAACCATCCTCAAACCAGATAGACACATAGAGAGTGTTGGAGTATTGCAGCCGTACAAAGAATGGTTAGCCGAAGTCAAAGACGTAGTGTCTCAAGTAAAACAATCTGTTGGCGACAAAGATCTCGCAGGTTGGGCTTACCAAGATCCTTTCGTTCGATTCCTTTACAATATTGGCCCTGAAAATGCGAAGCTTATCAAAACTCTCCAGTTTTCTGGCACCATGAAAACTCATCGCTGCAATCCAGCAAATGATCATCATAAGACCTGTGGCGAGGGCTTTATGCTGAACTTCCTTATCTATCTACAATTTATCCGTGAGCTTTGTCCGCACTTAGAAAAGCTTGTCTTGAACATCGCTCCGGATGTTCATCGTCGCTACTACAATAAAGAATGGTTGAGAAGGTCTAGCTTCCAGGAAAATCTTACTCCGTTCCTAAAAAATCATATTAGAAAGTTAGAGACAGTCAAAACTTTGGTTCTTTGCACCCGAAATGAAGCGAAACCAACTGAGGAGAACCATCTTTATGAACCAATGAAGTTTCCTCTAGCCGTAGAAACATGTAAGTGGTTTGAGGATAGGGCAAGAGGTTGGGCATCAAATGCTTAAGATCATTCGAGAGTGCTCAACAGACACTATATGGATGAAGGATTGAGAGACTCAAGTCATGCATGATTTGGTTTCATTGGAGTAGGGTGCCAGGAGTTCGGTTCTGTCTTTTGACCTGTGGAACTCGGTTGTTTTTAACTAGTAATGAATGGACTCAACTAATAAATATCATGAATCATCTGATATTTTTTGACTTTTACAATCGTGATTCAATAATCTTGTAGAATTTACCTAACCAATGATTTCACTGACAGCTAACGACCAATCCGACGTTTGACAACAGGTGACTTTGGAAAGTTTGCTTGAATTGTGTTTCTATTTGCCAATGAATAACTTTCCCAGAATGCATAAATACCCTGCATACACCACCCTAACAGTCAATTCCCATCATTCAAGAATGTAGCGTTCATGAAATCTCACTTGGATCAGATGGAAAATTTTGAACGATAGAGGGCATAGAATCATGTAGTCGCCGTTATTGCGAGTCATTGATGCGGAAGCAAGAATTGAGCAAAGTGAATAGAAATATTCATATAAATTCTCATTGGATTATGCCATACGGCATCTCGAGTGTGTACGCTCGGATGTTTCATTTGAATATTGATGCGCTAATGCGTCGCTTAACGTCTGCTGTATAGACTAGCGTCGAAACACGCGAGTAGAGCTATTTCCCATGGCTTTTTAAGCTCCCTTCCCTCCAAGATCCATTCCTACAAAGTTTCTTTCAACATCAACTTGAACATCAACTTCAACACCAACATCAACTTCAACATCCAAAAATCCTCCCCGTAATTAAATCGAAATGCCGGCACCAAAGCTTTATGGCCGCACTATTCCATTTGGACCTTATACACCAGAGGATCTAGTGAAGGCACGCCGCCGATTTCCAGAAGAGAAGCTGGCATCCAGGGCTCTAGAAAAGTTTGCCCGCGCTAATTGGGAGGGTTCGAGTAGCAATAGGTGGTTCTGGAAAGACAACTGCCGCTATACTTGCGGTGATGGTATGTTAAAATCACACAAGCAATCTCACATTTTTAAGTTTTCTTGCTCACTCTTATCATTTCAGATATCATCTACAATCAAATCTGGGTGCCCAGAACCAAAGAAGTTCGTTGTCCTTTCGACTATAAGAAGTACTTAGTTCCATTGGGTGGTCCCCCAACACTGTCACAAATTGACATACCAAAGCCACAGAGGCTTTCAAAGCTACTCGCGCACAAGAGCGAAAAGCAATGGGGTTTGCCTCGTGATCATCCCCGTCATCTTTTGAATTTCCCACAAGGTACTTTAATCCTCCCATGCCGATTATAAACTGAATACTAATCATTTGGACGCAGAAATTCTGGACGCAATTTTTGGGTTCACATTGAGTACTCAGGAGTATACTATTTTGCCTGATGTCTCCACCTCAAACAAGGTGCACAAGTATGAAGATTCCAAACTGCACCAAACTTACAAGTTGGGAAGAAGGGCTTATGATGCGGCTCTACCCAATACGCCTCAAGTCGAATCTCTCGTTATAAGCACAGTGATCCACCAGCAGCGATATGACGCCCAGGGGAAATACTTTGTTCTTCGCAGGGTTTGCCGCCATCTCATCGATGCAACAATTCTACGAGTTTGTAAGAGCATCTGCGATCAGGGAACGAAGCTGTTATATGCAGGAAATGAGTTCGAGTTCAAGACGACGAAGACCGGCAAATTGGGTGCCTCAGCTAGCCTTTTTGATGGCATATTGTATCCAAACTCTTTGTCGAATAGGTCCTTTTGTCAAGGAAGAGATGAGCCACAAGCCACAGAATTACGACGACGAATGGCCGGTGATGCTATCAATATCATCGAAAACAGAACACCGGTGCTAGATCTCGACTTTGACATGTATCACGATCTCTTTGTACGATTTCTTTGTGTGATTGGACCCAGCAAAGCCGCCATGATCAAGACTCTACATTTTATTGGACCTGTCAAGTCACACTATTGCTCTCAGGACTCCAGCTGTACAAAACTTGTCAAGTGGTGCAAAGATGACTTGATCGAGAGTCTTCTCTTATATATTACTCTCATAAAGAGATTTTGCACGAACTTGCAAAAGTTAGTGATTGTCATGACTAAAGACTACGAAACAAGCGATAACCTGTGGGGAAGTCGCACAGTCTATGACTTTGACGAAAGAGAACGCGAGTGTTATGCACGCCTGCAAGCTTTGCTAGAAAATCAAATCAGGGAGTTTGACACGGTCCAAGATCTACAGGTCTACGAGGATGACCGGCTGGAAGTAGAGTGCGCAAAAGAAACAGAGGCATGGTTTTCTGAGAGAACTCGCCAGCGGGGACTTGAGGCGCTTGCAAAGGCAAAGCTGCAGAGCAGGATGCAGGATTTGACTGTTGGCGATGATGATGCCACTAGCTATGTCGAAACTTTTGTCTGATGTTTCGGACTCAGGACTAATGTAGCACGCCTTTGAAGGGATAAGACTACCGATGATCAGGCATTCACAGATGTTAGGAACTGTATCTAAGAAGTCAAGATACTGAGTCTATAGCGAACATGTCTCTTAATCATTGAAGCAATATGTTACACTCAGGTTCCAGGTGCTTATATTTAGAAACTAGTGACAAACATAACAAATCCACCCTTGAAATGATAATCTAGTGCCAGCTGGCTGTTTTCTCAACTGTAGAACCATTGATTCATACTATTCATGAGCCCTAACTGATATTCCACAAGTAAGAAATCTTGACAAGATGCAAATCAGGCACTTCTTGTCGTTTCTTTGAACTTGATCTCTCTTGCTTTCCCGATGTTGTCCGAGTGCTGTTTTCTCCTTCTCATTGTTTTTCTTTACTCTATTGCATAGCCTTATACCCATTCTGTGTCAGTAACGCATCGAGATTGCTGCATTATCGAGATTTGGTAAGATGTCCGCTTAAAAGCAATAAGTGGACAGTTAGGCCGTGGGATAGTGTTGGAACTGACCAAGGATCATTTCCCTCATTATCAATGTCCAAACTTGGCCGATGTGTTAAATTTGTATTATTAGCAATATCTGCGTTCACTGGATGAGATGCATGAATTGAGTGAAGTAGAAAGAAAGTGAATATGAAAGGTCTGGTCAGAATGGGAACTAGTGTCTGGCATGTGTCTTATTCTCAGTCTCATGCTTCAAATCTTGAATATACAAACTTAAGTTTAGTTTCCTGCAAGATCAAACTTAACATCAATCACGCAAACAAGAAGCCTTGAATAATTGAGATGATAAATTGATAGTGATTTCTTCTCTCTTCTTTCATTCGTCTTCGATAATTTCTCCATTCTCTCTTAAAATTGCGCATTATCAAAATAAAGATGCCACCACGATTTCCTCCCCGCGTTCCGCGCGAACATATCAACAATCTTCCGCCTATGACTCAAGACGATCTTGATGCCGCGCGCAAAGAGTTTCCCGAGGAAAGGCTCCCATCAAGAGCCCTCGAAAAGTATGCAAAGAAGCATTGGATTGAAGGTCGTTACTTTTGGAAGGATAATTTTCGTTATGTCTGCGGCGCTGGTACGTTGACTTTCCAATCCAAGTTCACAAGATACCTGGGACTGTTCGAGGGTGCAATATACTTATTTGGTCAATCGCAGATATTCAATACTTTACAGCTACGATTCCTAGATACGAAAGAAAGACAAGCCATAGCCCCCGAAAGAGAACATATCATGTTGCTAAAAATACTCCGACATTGGCCATGATTGATCAACCAAAGAAGAGAGGACTCCAGAAGTTGATCGCACATCAGGGTGAAAGCGAATGGGCATTGCCTCAGGATCATCAGCGGCACTTGTTGAAGTTTCCTCAAGGTAAGTTGTTCATTTTACAATGGATGCATGGAAGACGAGCTCCTCTTCAATCCCCAAATGTCATAATTGTTCCACATGTTCTTTTCTTTCTTTCCAAAAGAAAAAAACATAGGTTTGTTGTTCTATTTGTTACGGAAATGGGGAAATCGATTCTACAAGACTTTACAGAGTCCAAAAGAAGATTTCATGAGCATAACCACGCCAAAATGTCTCATGGTATCATGAATTCATACATTATTTGTTGATTGCCATTCCATTATTCACCGCTAATTGTGTTTGACAGAAATCATTGATGCGATCTCTGGCTGGGTTTTGACAATCAAGGATCATGCAATCACTCCGGACGTCACAACATCAGATTGGGCACAGGTTTTTAAGTCTCATAAGACCTATTCCCTGGATGGTGAACAGAGTCTCAAATCAGAACTCAGCTTTAACACTGTCATCACACACCCTTGCAAAGATCAAGAAGGAACGTACTTTGAGCTTCGAAAGGTATATCGCCCCAGGATAGACGCAACACTATTACGAGTGTGCAAAAGGTTCAGAGACAATGCAACCAAGTTGTTGTATAAGGAAAACGTTTTCCATTTTGCAACCGTGGATTGGAGTGCAACCGGTAGTCCAATTTCTTGGATCAATTGTGAGAATGCACGCGAACGGATTGGAAACGATTTAGACTTCATACAGCATCCGTTAAGTGAAACGCCACTACTGCTAACACAATTCCACGATACATGGCCATTTGGTAGCTTCGAGCCCGATTATCTTGCCGTCAATGATGCCGTTCGCTTGATCGAAAGCTCTGGGACCCCAGTGCTCGAGGACTGTCGGTTTGCTTACAGCTACCACGACCACTTTTTCCGTTTCCTTCAAACGATTGGGAAAGAAAAGGCTAAGATGCTAAAGACCTTACAGTTTAGTGGAACAGTGGTCTTACACAAGTGTCACGGTAACGACTTGGTGCATTTTCCGAAATTTAAATGCCCCAAGGATTTGGTTGATACCCTTCGTTTGTATATTCCAATCATCAATATGCTCTGTACCGGTTTGGAGAGACTTGTGATTGAAGTGCAAAAAGACCCCCATCTAGACTGGCCGTTACTACTTGAGTTGGGGTTTTTGGACTCTGGCATGAGTGTTCATCAAAAGTACATAACCTCCGTGCTCGAAGGAGACCTCCGAAAACTCAAGACAGTAAAAATACTGGAAGTCTATGAAGTATTTGAGGTCGAGGACGCCGCCTCTGCAGCAGAGCCTTCAGTCGATAACCCTGAGCCCAGAAAACTCATGAAAAGAGAGAAGCTTGATATCGCAGAACCGGCGATCGTGTGGTTTAGGGATAGAGCTAGCAAATCAGGTAATGAGAAAGGAGGAAAATGAAACAGTAGCAATGAGGAAATCTGCAGGATTCTTTAAATTGTGGGATGAAGGGTATTTCATATATGTGACAGGAAAGGAACTGAATGGAGGATGAAGGATGGAGTTCTGAGGAAAGTACTTCTGCTTTCGGGGATCTGTGAAGATTTAGTAAGCGACAGGCAAGAATATGCAATCGCAGCTAGAATGGAGAGGAATCACACGTAATAATAATGACTCGTGCTCTTTGACGTGAAGTTTTCTCAAACAGATGTTCACTCCTTCATTTCCGCATTTTCAAGCAGTCAACGCCTCGGATTGTTGGCGCAGATATCTACTAACCCCGATATTGGTAAACCAGACGAATATTCAGATATCGTGCGTAGCTTGATACGACATCGAGCATTGAAACCACTCAGTCCGGTCCTCATAGAAAACATAATGAGTGATTTGACACTGGCCCATGAATTCTGGAAAGTAGGATATACCTTAACTTTTGGATCTTGCTCTTTCCCTCAACCATACGATTGGTCTCCTACCTAATACAGCTGTACTTGGGGTGCATTTCCTAACCAGATCCCACATCCATCCTGTTTTTTTTAGTCGTCGGATTATCTTTATTGAAATATTGCCATCAACTCTAATGTTCCAACAACTCATACATATCTCCGGATTCTTATATCGTCACATGTTCTAAACACTAAGAGTGAAGCGGACTCAAGCAGCTCTCCAATTCATCTCACTCCATCAGTCTCGTCGCAAAATATCATGAACATGAACCATTTAACTTCGAAATCACGATTCAAGAAGGACAGATGGAAGAATCAGTCCGCACTCACGTGCACCTGACTCAAAATTTGGAGCTAGAGTACTAGCGCCAACAGATCATGACGGCATCTTTGAGTTCCTCCCCACACTCCCAACCTTTACTGACATCCTTCATATGAACAACTGATTCTGCCCTTGATATATGTTAATTCATAACATTAATAAATCAATCTATACATCATGCATCAAATGTAGAAAATTCGTCTCATATCGGAACGAGATCCCAACTCTTAAGTAAGAATTCACAACCTCCACGTGCAAACGTGAATCATGGTCATAACATCTACTATCAAAATCCCAACTCCAAACTCCCGTGCGCCGCGTACGTCAACCACATCTTTCCGCAATGGACAATACACCCCATACCCAAGAACCGGGTTCGGGTTCGCAGACGTCGATCTTTGACGTCGATCTAGGACATGCATATTCGGCACATGCGTTTGTATGAATGTGGAAACGTGGGGTGCGGAGAAGAGCGCTCGGATCCAAATAATGCTTCTCTGCATCGCGTCACAGCGGAAAGAAATAAATTTCCGTATCATTACTACGAACGATATACCTCTTGGATGAAAAGAATACTCCGAAGTTGATGGCTACCTTGCATTCGAAGGCATTGACGTAGATGATCATCATGTAAGTGGTATAAGATCAAATAAGTATACCAACCCCTCTTCTTTACATCCTTTTTCTGCTTCTCTTCATACCCCCTACCCCAAATTTTTACACAAAAATGGCATCAGCATCGCACCATGACCATACACCCAATCCCGCCCTCTATACCGGCAACCCCTTAGCCCACGCCCATACCAATTCCGCCAACTCAATTTACTTTGCACCTTTTGCTGGTGCTCTCCAGCCCGGACTGTATCGACCTCCTAAGAAAAACATTGCGAATCCTGCACCTTTAGGACTTGCTGCTTTTGCATTGACGACATTTGTATTGAGCTTGATAAACTGGCATACGAGAGATGTTTCGGAGCCGAATATTGTGGTTGCGTTGGCTTTTGGGTATGGAGGATTGGTTCAGTTATTGGCGGGGATGTGGTATGTTTCATTTTCTTATATCTATGCCTATTCAATGAACTGCCGAGGGAAATCGGATTAGAGTGTGTGAAACTTTGGCTGATGAGGAATGATACAGGGAAATGGCAGCCGGTAATACATTTGGTGCCACGGCATTAAGTTCTTATGGAGGATTTTGGATATCTCTCGCGATTGTCTTGACACCAGGTGGATTTGGAATTCAAGCTTCCTATGAAAATCCAGTACATTTTTACTATGCATTTGGATTCTTCCTTATGGTATTCCAACCCATCCTCCATAAACCCCTACCACCCTCTAACCTCACGAACTAACTTCTCTCCAGGGCTGGTTCATATTCACCTTCATCCTCTGGATCCTAACTCTTCGCTCCACCGTCGTCTTCTCCTTTCTCTTCTTCATGGTCGTTCTCACCTTCCTAATGCTCGGCCTCGCCTACTTGTACCCTGGAGAAGCAGGTCCAAATGTGGCTTTTCAAAAAGCTGGCGGAATGTTTGGAATCCTAGCGGCGTTTGCGGCGTGGTACGTAACGCTAGCTGGATTGGCAGATGATTCGAATAGTTTTTTTACGGTGCCAGTGTGGCATTTTCCGTGGAGTGATAAGGGGAGAGAGATGAGAAGAGAGAGGACTGGAAGCTTGGAGGAAGGGAGTGTTGGGAGTGTTGGGGGCAGGAGCGAGGAACAGAAGACTCGGCAAGCGAGTGTATAGTTGAGGGTGGATGAACGTTGATATGATGGGAAATGGCTGTGAACTTTGTTCAAAATTGGTAGATGTGTGTCAACACTCTGTGGAAAGAACTGCGACAATGTAGCGAATGTTTGTAGAAGTTTGAGACGTATATATACCATGCATGAGAGATTTGTAGGAATAGAAGAAATGAATAACAAAAGAATCGATCCAATTGGGAATAGTGTCAACAATGATCACCATGATTGCACTTGTCTTTCCTGCAAGTATGATAACAAAATCATTCATTATCAATAACAAGATTTTCCTCGTGCTTCAGACTCTCGGGAATAACGTTCTGCACTGGTTGCTAGTAGTATTCCGCATCAACGGGTGAATTGGCGAGCTTCATTCATGGGGGCCGTGATCGAAGCTGTTGTAGATACTGAGTGTGATATTGTGATGGCGCCATGATCTCAAAGGAAAGGCTTGAAAGGAAGGATTGGTTACGAGATATCCAAGAATCCTCCTTCTTTGCTGGAGTAAATATCTTCATGCTTGGAAATGGCAGAAGATCGGCAGCTCGATATTGGATAGTTTTGTCGCACAACTTGTGAATAGCTTCAAAATCAAATGACATCCCACACAAGAATCCCACCACTACACATTCTTCTTCACAACCCAGCCCAAGGCCAAATGTGCAATGAAAAAAAGATTTCAAAAACTGGTCAGACGTCCATCAACACCCACCCCAATCCAGACTCCTAAGAGAACCAAAAGAGGGTCGAGATCATCACCACTTTCTATACAATCAAGCCACTGTCTCCAGCAACTCAATCGCCTTCCTTGCGGAAAGAACGAAAGCAAAAACGGTTTCACTCTAGGGCATCGAGGATCGACTCATCGTCCCAGTTGGAGTCTGTGGCTCTTGTAGAGAACACAGAAGAAGGACGTTTACTAAAGAAATGATTCTTTGAAGTATTGTCGATACTTTTTTCCCTGAGGGTCTGGGGAGGAAGAGAATTTATAGAGATTGGGAGTGGTCTGTGCGTGGGGAGGATGGGAGAGAAGCGAGTGCAAATGGTGCAAACATAGATGGATTGGGACTAGGGTGGAAAAATCTGCAGGAGAGTGGGGCGGGAAATGGGTTTTTGGGAAGTTTTTGGGATGAATTTTTTGGAGGGGGACGGAGTAGCCTTGCTGTAAGGCTGTACATTAGACGTGCGGCTGTATGGCTGTACGGTTGTATGGCTGTACGGTTGTATGGCGGTATGACGGGATCGGTAGATTTATCATTGTGTATCTCAATTTATCTGTTATATCCCTGCTACTTGGTGAATGGTCTGTTCCGCTCCAAGTGACTTCATCTTTCCTTCATTCCTCACTCTCATGTTCTCGAGATGCTCAACCAACGCGTTTGAATTGAGTTATGAAGTGATCGCTTGGGCAATGGCAACCAGACATTGCGAGGCTGTCAGCACTCGTTCCAGCTCTGGAAATATTGAGAATCTTTCCCTCGCATTACTTTCATTGCTCAGTACATGTGTTCCGAATCTTAGCAGAAGCATACGCTCAAATTAAATGCTCAGCATTATTTGCGAATAGCGTCAGTAGGATAGGAAGGTTCAAGTTCCTAAATGTTATTCAAGTCTCGTTGCAAGTTGCTCGCTGCCTCAGAATCGTGAACTCCGAAGTCGAGATTGTCATCATTGGTTCTATACATCTCTCACAATTTTTGGACTTGAACGTTACTACTTGGCTCAATATTGGTGGCTTGAGTATTGATTAACGTATCATATTTCCTCAAATCTGGAATTGGATTGATCTTCAACGAGGAAATACTTGTCCTCTTGCTTAGCCCTACTCTAGTGAATTGGCCGGCCTGACTCATCAACCACGAGCGACTTCCAGCTCCGAAGATTTTACTCTAAGAACACTCCTCTTATGACTGAAATCTTCACAAACATCAATTTTCCTTTGATATTTCCATTTCGATCGCCAGTATCACACATGCAAAGCGATTAAGCTACCTGAGCTCTGAGAAATTTATCTATCGTCAGATGATTGCTTATACCTCGATTGTCCTTTTCTCAATTTTCACATTAATAGTGATAACTACATTTCTCTTACATCCAACCACAAAATAACTCTATATACCAAATCTTCATTCGGCATGGCGCAGAACTGGAGGTTCAAGGCTCTCAAGTTTCTTCCTTTGAGAGCCAGAAAATTATTCATTTCTGGAAGTGCTTCAAATGAATTGGTTGATACCCATGAGGTATGACTCTTAATATAAGCTCCACCTATCTATCCTAATGAATTCCCAATAGATCACAAACTGCGCGACGTTAAATTCAAATGAACATCTAATCGTCACTGATCAATTTCCATTCCTGCAACTTCCCTTGGAGTTGCGAGTTTTGATTTACAAGAAAATTATCCCAGATGAGAGCGTCTGGTGTAACTTTGCATCACGGATCACAGCCGATCATTTACAGAATCTTTCAAAGGAAAAAACATTAAACACCATTGGTCTTTCAAGAAAAGATGGCGACGCTTGCTGTCCTGAAATATTGTGTCTAAATTCACAGATCTACCATGAAGTCATTCCGCTGTGGTATGGTACAGGAGAACTTTGCCTCTGGCTGATGAACGAAGTGAATTGCCTGGGCCAAACAACGCTTCTTTCAGGAACTGTACCCTGTTTTTTAAAATTTGTGAAATCGCTTCGCATTTATATCTATCTTCCAGATGCTGGTGAGGTGACAAAGTCCGCACTAAGCAGGCAAAGCAGTTTGCCGTTTTTGACAGCATTGGGAGACGTTTTGGCCAAAAATGGAAACCTCAAACAACTAGACATTGAATTCTCATTGCACATGCCAACATGGCTTCCAGCCCTCGCAGGTCCCTCGGAGCTTTTGAGCAATCTTTTGGAATCTAACTTGAGACCTTTTCGGAACATATCAGGATTGTTGGATCTAACTACTGACTTCAACGCGCAAAAGGATGTATCTCACCGGTATCAAAAACATCATCGGTCGGTCGTGGAGCGTAAGGCACGTGTTTATCTAGATGCTTTCGAGTTCGAAATGCTTCACGGCACGAAGTCGAAGTATCGATGTACTACAATCATCACCCGCATCTCTCCACTTCTGCAGCTCCCTGTAGAATTACGCCTTTTGATATACAAATATCTTGTGCCTGATGGTGATATCTTACCCATCAGGGTTCGAGAACGTCCTGAAACTCTAAGGAAAGACGGTGGATCTATCTGCCCAGCAGTATTGTATCTCAATCGGCAGATACACAACGAGGTGATTCCTTTATGGTATGGATCTGGAAACTTCCACTCCGAACTTTGGGATTTCTCAGTGCGCGTTCCGTCTGCCTTAAGATTCATTAAATCCTTGGATATTCCAATCTTTGCGCAACTTGTTCCCCAAAAAGGCATGCTTTTGGAAAGGCAAGGTCTGCCCAATTACTCTGCTTTTATCTTATACTTTCTCGAGAAACATGGCATTCTCGAGCGTCTTGCAATTCGTCTTACAGTGAGCCAGGTGACTTACGGCCACTTTGAATCTCACGCAGGAGCATTGATGGAAGTATTAAACTATCACTTGAGCCCGTTTCGAGATATCCGAGGCTTATCAAATGTGACTGCCACGATTGACTTTGGAGAAAGTGGAACACATGAAGGTGGAATCTTTATGAGTATGGCACGGAAGTTCTTGGACCAATTCGAGTCTGATATGATTCGTAAATAGTTCTGGATGCCATCTCAGGGGTATTCTTTGGTGAGGCTATGTCTTGGTGATTGTCGGCCTGCAAGCCTGACTCCTTCTCCCAACTTGTTCTATATCCATGCGATGAATGTGATGAATTCCTTGAACAATTTCTCAGGGTAAATTTCTTGGCTATAAAAAAACCGGAAGCTCGGGTCAGGTATTTCATGAGTATATTCAACATGCCGTTCACAGACGCTCGATTGAAGGAACTATTGTCAAATGCTGGGCGGGCGGGAGGAGGAAATTCTCCTGTGTCTGTTTCATATTGAATTTTCTACGAGTTGGAATCTTGTGCGGTTCCATTAAGTGGTAACTATTCTATTTAGAAATTGAGGTTACGGAATGATTATCCCATCAAAATGCACTGCAAATTTTAAAATCATACCTCAAAGTTCTTCACCCTCCATCCATCCACTCCCCTCTAAGCGGGCGGGGATAGGCGGAGGGTGGGGGTGGGTGGGAGAGGGAGGAGGAACTTCTCTGGTGTTTGTTCTATGTTTACTATTGTATTGAATCTTTTCATCAACCTCATCATTGAAATAGTGATAATCATATAAATATTATTCTAGGTATGCAGAGGCTTGCATTGTAATGACCATCGTATTAAGACTATGGAATCAAGAGAAGATATATCTATGCATGAATAATGCTAAGCTAATATATATGAGGATAATGAATGCATTCAACAAATGTTTTATTTGGAATTTATATAGTAAAATAGTTATTATATTAAAATGTAGTACAGAATCACATCTACGTTCATATTTCTTTCCCCTCAAGCTCCCCTCAAAAACCTCACTCTCCATCCCTCCACTCCCCCATCCCTCAGCATTCGCATCCTCCTCAGCTCCTCCTCCCCTCGCAACCCTCTCCCCTCTCCCCTCTTTACCCCTCCACTCAACCTTCCACTTCCTATGCCCCTGACTCTTCACCCTCCTCATCATCTCATCCTCCTCCTCCTCACAACATTGAAACGTAATCACCATTTGAAGCCTCACCTTTCTATCCCATTTCCCCTTCCCCTCCCCATTCCCCCTCCCGCCCGAGCCCCCCTCCAATCAAACCCAAACCCACCCATAGCATACGTCTTCCCCACCACCCCCACACATAATCAAACAGCATCCCCATCCTCACCCCTGCAGGCACAGTAATAACTGCCTCTCCAATAGAAGTCCAGTACATAGCGTATTCATTTGATTTAAGAAGAATAGATAGCGCAGCCGGTTGAGTGAGTAGCATTCTGCGCCAGCTGGCGCGGGGATGGGTGAGGGGGGTTACGGGGGGTGGGGATTTGACTGTCTCTATTTCTGTACCTGTTGCTATTTCTGTATCTGAAGAGGATATTAGAGGAGAATCGAACTTGTCTTTTTCACTGGTATCTGCATCGTAACTACTCCATCTCAGCTGCGCAAAAGCATTCTCGCTCCATAACATTCGGTTTCTGGCGGTAAACCACGCGGGGAATGTTGAGACTAGGAGGGGGTTGAGTCGTGGTTTGTGGTCTTCATGTCGGGTTTTGTCTAAATCTCCCTCTCGTTCTATGTTTGTATCTTCATCTCCATCGGAAGAAAAAGGAGGAGGAGAAGAGGAAGATAGCAAAAATAAAGATTCCTGCAGAACAGGAGAGGTAGTAATCACGTGCAACCAAGTTTTTGAAACGCGTTGGGAGAGGAGAAGAGTGCGCATATCGAGATGAACGATGATTTGAGTGAGGAGTTTGGGGAGGAGGAAGGAGGGATGAGGGAGAGAGTGAGGGGGTTTGGTGAATGGAGAGCTGGATGCGGATGGGGTTGTGGTTGTGGGTGCGGACATAGTTGGCATGCAGAGATGTATGTGGTATGTATTTCTGGGCAAGATCAATTACGGTGATTTTTGAGGTTCTGAGTTTTAATAATCTTTTGCTTTCTCACTTCTTTGAGGGTGTATATAATTTATATATTTTTGAGAGAGATTTGTAGGTGTGAAGATGTATGATTCACACCGCAGCCTTGCTTCAAGCGAGCAAGAGGCACAGCAGAGTAGAATCATAACATGTGGTAACTATTATCAGGATGATTATTGGATGCATGGTAAATTGTAATGTAACAGTAAGATATTGACACCACTGGACATGGGGCGTTTAGCCTTAACTTTACGCATTTTGCGTATAAAGTTGAGGATCTGCTCGCTTTCGTATAAGGATGTTGTGGATGTTGGAAGTTTGTACTGGGAAGGAGGAGGTAAACTCTGAGTATATCATAGTTTGAAGTTTTTTGGAGAAGTTGGTGAGTGTGCAGGAATGGTTTTTAGGAAGTTTGTATAATGGGTAATTTCGAAGTTGGGTATTGGTGGGATATTCAGATAGGTGATGTTTCGCGATCAGATGAGAATATACGAAACTGTACAGCGGTTATTCAATTCATTTGGCAATAGATGGGACGAATTGGGGTTTTGTGTTGGATATGAGTAGATGAGTAGAAAAGTAGCTATGTCAATTGTGGAATCAGAATTGGAGTAATGGAAAAATAGTTGAATGTGAACTTGATCACTAAAGTCGTTATTCAAATTTACTTGGACAATGAATATGTATGTCGAGCCGAAAATGAATCATTGACGATAGTGGTTAAATACAATATAGAACACTCAGAGATGGAAATATCATGAAGCTTTGAGGGATCATCAAATCCAAGACAAATAAAAAGCAATGTCCCCAAAAACACCGCCTGAGTACCCAATCGAAGCTTAGGATGGGCCTATAACATGAAAAAAAAAACATCCGTTTCTAACCCTTGAGACGATTTCTTACGTGTGGGTTGGCCAAGCCTTAATAGCACGCTATAGAAGGGTGGGTGACTTTCTCATTTTCATATGTATTTGTATTTAGAATTCATCCCAAGTCGTCGGAGATGAGCCCCTCGGCCTCTGGTAAAAATCTAGATTCTGTACCATATCAAGCTCGACGTGAGCTCATCTGGATAAAAAGCTTGATCCAGTATTCCGACTATTTATTCTGAATCGTTGTTGATTGGGGGCACAGTGAAGATGTCATGTTGAAGTTAGTACTTCCCTCACATCACTCTTTCCTGGACGTTTCAGGTAAATCCTCGCTTAAGCCATACAAAGTACCATTTCGCAAATCTTGCTCAATTTGTTGTATATCTTCCTCGGTGATAGCTTTATAATAATCAGATTCTGGGCCATGAATCATGCTATAACGAATTTGAGGGAGCTCAAAAGTTATCGAATGTAGAACGAGCCCCATTGTCGTGTTTGGAACCGGTGGCTCTTCCCATTGTCCTGGAACGTCCATGGAGAACTTTCCATCTTTGATGAAAGCTTCATCGGTTCGTGAGAGGCATCGACCTGCACCAGTCAGATCACCGCGCATTCGACCAGCTTCGCATAAGAATTGGGGATCAAGATGTGAGTATTCAGGTCGAGTGAAACGGGTTATGTTGAGTGAAAGGTTGTCCAGCTGATCTTCGTGAGTAATTTCACAACATATATCTCTGCAACAATCGATCACATGCCATCTTAATGCAGGATTTGCGGTGCTCTCTTTGTCGCTGTCTTCCCCATCACTATCCTCACTATCACTGTCCTCCCCGTCGCTATTCTCCCCTTTGTCGCCGTCTTCCCCATCATTATCCTCCCCATCACTATCCTCCCAATCACTATCCTCCCCATCATTATTCTCACCATTGCCACGTATAGTACATGGATGGTGAGAAATGAGATCTATTCCTAACTCAAGGAAGGGTTGGGACCATATTCGAAAGATCGCATTAGTGATTTCCATACTCCAATTGCACGCTTTTATGATTTTTACAACTCCATCCATGTATATCCCAGTAGTGATGCACGAGAGAAGCTCTTCATTTGAGTTGCGTAAAACCCAGGGTATATATATTCGCTCCAGAATGACGAAGAGCTTGTACTCGAATAAAAACACTCTATGCTTGTCTTCTCCATAGAACCAAAGACGGAATAATGATCCGAGCCATCTGTCTATAAATTGAAGTATAATTCGTTCCAAGAACTTCCCAGATTTGGATGGAGTGAAAATTTTGAATTGGAATAGCTCTTCCGCAACCCTGGCAGCCAAAAAATCGACGACTTCGGCATCTCTTGCCCCATTGAGACTCCATAATACCGCCACAGACCAATGCCTTCCGATTGATCCGGCTGGTTTATGCTGGAATACATAACGCCATATGGAAATATTTAAAATATTGTAAAAAGGCAGACCTGAGCTCAATGTACATAACGGCCATAAATCATACCCAGCTTCAGATATGGCAGCAAAAGAAGTCAATGCCAATGCTCTCGATATTGGCACACTACAATGATACATTTGTAAGTTTCCTTATGTATACATTGCATATAGAATAACCTACATGCCATAATCATCCTCCCAGTATACGTCTGCTCCAAGATCAAGGAGCATCGTGCAAAGCTGCGTGTCAGCAGCGAAGACAGCTTTCTGTATAAAAAAAAAATAAGCAGCGTCGATTTATGGATTTTCCTGTGCTGGGATACTTACATGTAGAAGAGACTCTCCTTTCTCGTTGATATCATGAATAGATGCTTCGCCACGATCCAGTAACTTCTTCACACCTTGAACATTGCCACGTTTACAGAGTCGAAAGATTTCCGAGTTGTTTGGTCGACGCCGAACAACGTCAAGTGCATACTGATCAAAATTACTACTCATCATGAATCTGAACCTTTTTCGACATGTCGTAAATCCCATGAAAAGTTCAATCAGGAAAGTCTTGGTGGTTGTCGAATTGTCGGCATCGTCTGTGCCATCGTCATCGCTATATCGGTGAGTGGTGGAAATAGTTCGGAAATTGAGAGTGCCTAGTAAGAAACTCGTCTTGTATTGATCAAAAGACCTAGAAACACTACCAGCAGAATCTTTCCATCCACTGGAGGGAACAAAGCTACTTTGTGTCATTTCTTGTGATGCTTGAAGCGCAATTTGGTGGGTCGAGTTTGTTGTAGCTATAGAGCTGATATTCGTACTTAGCACATCGAGCCTGCTGCTGACTTGAATCAAAGATGCCCTATACTCAGCGGGTCAACCAAATAATCAATTTATAGCCAAAGGTTCATATTACTGTTGTCTGCTTCCCTGAAGTAGGGCCATAGTGGTCTTAACGCTCTCAAGGTTATCCCTAAACCTTTCTATCTTGCTCGCTTTCAAGACCATCTGAACTTTTCTCCATTGCCTACCGAGACTCCCATTGGAAACGGATAGATTTCGCGACAACTCTGAGATAAACTCTGAGAGTTGATCAATATCGTCCTTTGCTAATTCGAGGGCGTCCTTGACCATGCTTTCGAAATTTGTAGGTGTGCTACCAGTTTCATATTCAATTTGAATTGTATGAAAGACGCTAGCCACAAGTCGAAGCTCTTTAGACAAGCGGCGAATGTCTGAAGGAGCATCCTGAACAGCTTCCCAGAATTCAGCTGCCTTCCTCAGGGCATCCCCAAGTTGTACCGCTAGTGTTGCAATACCAATTACGCTTGCTGTGAAACCGACAGGATCCGCCATAATGTACAATATCAAGACTTTTCTGAGACAATGAACGACAAACAATAAACAGATTAGTGAACGTTGGGAGCAAAAGAGCGAGCCGCGATAAACGGATATTTAAGTGGTGTGCTGCACTCAGCATCGAAAAGAGATAAGCCTCACACAACCCAACTAGCAATGCAATCATTAAAGTGAGGCACTGCTGCATGACAGGGGCTTTAGCTGCAGATGTCACAATTTAACTGGGATATAAGTCGCGAATAGTTATTGTAGGTGATTTACCCTATTATACTACAGTAATATGGATATCATGAAGTTCCTTTTAATTCGGCCTCGACCTCCTCGACAACAATTGCCCGAACATCTTCCCATGAAGTACTGGGCACAACTCTGACTCGTTTCTCTTTTTCTTCTAAACCAACAAATTCTTTGGGGAGTACCGTATCAAAACTGAAGCTCTTTTCATCCTTTAATGCAAGATCAACAGCATTCGCAAATTTGGCTGGGTGTGCTGTTGAGAGAGAAATGTGATATGCATTTGGAGAGCGGGAGACGGATCGTAATGAAGCAGCTACACCAATGGCCGAATGTGGATCCAAAACGTAGGAACCACTAGTATAGAAATCCTTAATTGTGTCAATGGTTTGCTTGTCGCTGACTCTTTCGCTCTCGAAATCTCTGTTCGCAGCCTTGAGGATTTCATCCTGGACATTGAATCCACCATTGGTTTTCAATTGTTTAAGCCAGACTTCGACTTCCTGGCCGGCTTGCTTTTTGTTCCACTCATCGTCCATACCAGCGGCGGAGGCATACTCGTAGGCCAAAAACCAGAGCAATCGCTCAAAATTACTTGAGACAAGAATGTCCATAGCTGGGCTAAGAGTCTCCTTGACACCATCCTCGTGTGCTTTTACACCATCTTCAGCGAGTCCACCTTCAGCTTCGACACCATGGACCGCCTTCTTCTCGTAGTGTCCTGTCTTCCAGAAGCGGTATAAAATATCATTCTCGTTTGTCGCAATCACAAGCTTTTCAGCTGGTAGACCCATGCGCTTCGCGAAATATCCAGCCAGAATGTCACCAAAGTTGCCAGTAGGCACCACAAAGCGGACTTTGTTTTCGGGTTTATATCCAGGCGACTTTTGAAGAGAGAAGTATGCATGGAAGTAATATGTCGTTTGTGCCAAAATTCTCGCCCAATTAATGGAATTGACAGCTCCAAGGTTCATTGTCTCGTTGATCTGCGGATCCGCGAATAAGGCTTTGACGGTATCCTAAAAAGTGTTAGACATGTCAAATATATGTAGATGTATGACTCACCTGGCAATCATCAAATGTGCCTTCAACAGCCAAGTTGTGCACATTGGCATCCAAAACTGTCGTCATTTGAGCCTCCTGCACAGGACTTACTCTACCCTTTGGATGTAAGATAAAGACTGAGACATCCTTCTTGCCCCGAAGACCGTAGATAGCTGCAGATCCAGTATCACCACTTGTAGCCCCAACAACTGTAAGATGGTGTCTATCTTTTCCCTCCTTGCCTTTGTTGCGTCTGACGAGGAAGTATTCGAAAAGATTTCCAAGTAATTGTAATGCAACATCTTTGAATGCAAACGTAGGACCGTGGAATAATTCTAAAAGGTATAGATTATCCTTTTCGCTAAGAGGAACGAGAGGTGTAGTTTCCGGGGCGCGAAATGTAGAGTAACTTCGATTGATGATATCCTTCAAGTCTGAAGATGGGATTTCGGATGAAGAGATGTAGAGGGAAAGGATTTCGAATGCGAGGTCAGAGAATGACAAGTCCTTCCATTTTGACTCCCAGTTCTCAGGTACTGATGGAATTTGTTCAGGAATGAATAATCCTCCATCAGCAGCGAGACCTTTCAGCACGACTTCTTCGAATGATAATCCGTAGTCACCACCTCTGGTCGACAGATATCTTTGTGAAGGGGTATGGCCAGTCATGATGCTCAGTTTATATTGTAAATAGATGCGAATAACTTCAATTGAAACAATGTTTTTGATCAATGCAGAGATCCGCTCCGATGTCGGTTTCTGTGCGGAAACCCCGCCATCTAGCGTCTCCTCCGCAACCCCGCTGCCCAGCGGAATTTTTTCAACATTTATGATAAGTCACCTCGTTCCGGATCGACAGTCTACATCAATGTTGCATTTGACAATCCGTCATGATGAGATCAAATGGAGAATCTGGCTTTTCTTAAAGAAGGCCCACGTTTGCACATTTTGTATCACATTGGAGAACAAAAAAGTACCGTATCTCAAGTATGGAGACTGCGGGAAGAATCGACTTTCCTTAATCGCCCATTTACCAGATAAGTAGCAAATTGCGTGATTGTTGGGTCTCTACAGGTGAGGATACACCTACCTTTCGAAACAGAACTATCAAGAACATTCAGATTGCCTGGACTTCTAATCACAGAATCGCATCATGGCACAAAATATCTACGATCAAGAGGACTTTTTCAAAGCATATGCTCAGCTTCCACGCTCTGTTCATGGATTGGAAAAGGCTCCTGGTTTTGAAGTACTACCTTTTTGGTTAGCAAGCCTCGAGGGATCAAATTTCCTAGATCTTGGATGCGGGTTTGGCTGGATGTGTAGATGGGCGCGGGAAAATGGTGCAAAATTTGTTCGGGGTACAGACGTATCTGAAATATGTTAGCTCGAGCACGAAAGTACCCAGAAGATCCTTCTATCAGTTATCGCAAAGCCGATTTCGAGACGTTACAGATATCTCCAAATGAGCTTCATGTTGCCTACAGCTCTCTGGCCCTTCTCTATATCGAGAATCTACCATCTCTTATCGAGCAAGTCTACACATCATTGAAGCCTGGAGGAGCTTTTATTTTTTCTGTGGAGCATCCCATTTGGACTGCTCCACGAAACCCTGACTGGATTAAAGATGCGGAAGGTCAAGACGTCTGGCCACCAGATAGTTATTTGTTTGAGGGCCTCGAACGACAGACTGGTTGGCAAAAGGGGTAGTCAAACAACACCGAACGATTGCTACATATATCACGATTTTTCTTGGTGCTAGCTTCATATTGTCTGCAATTGACGAATGGGGACCAACACCAGAGCAGATAAAGGAATATCCAGAATAGGCTCTAGCAAGGCATCGTCCTCCGTTTCTACTTGTGAAGGCTACGAAACCGGCCAATTAGAGTACTTAGACCATCACCATATCTAGGAATGGCTTGCTGTCGTCCGTGTCAGTTTCTGGAATTGCAAATCCGGGCATCGCTTTAGGTTGCTTCAGGCAAGCGCGATAAAAGGCTCATCTAAGATATATGTAAGATTGCTATTTTTTTTCAATATTCGATCTTAAATTAAAGAACCAAGGCTTTGAATTTAAGATTGCTTCGAAAGATTTGGATTCATCGTACAATTTAATCAATCTGCATTTGAGATCATATATCTATCATTGTGTAATATCGAATTATCAATGCTTTCAATGTCTGATTCCGTCCGAATGATGGTGTACCACTTTTACGTCCCAATGAAGGCCTGCATTACAGGGGCATCAAGCTGTAAGCACAAGCCAGCTAATCCACCGATCATCACTCTCAAAGTCCATCCTTTCTTAAGATGACTTCTACGACATCTTTCTGGAGTTCAATTGATCGACGTGTGCTTTCGTGATGTTTAAATCATCTCGCGCAGATTATCACGGCTGGTTAGAATTCAAAGAAAATGCCCTTCCTAGCAATATATTCGGCTACCTACTCGTCCAATACTTCCTCCGGTATTTCAAAAGCAAACCTTTCGATACTGCATGCTACGATGACCCCAACGAGATTGAAAAGTGCGGGGCACTTGGCCAACGGAGCTTTTTGAAACAACCATTACCAAACCGAGAAGGTCCTAGACCTGAGAAGAGCAAATGGGTACCTTGAGGCGGTCCCTCCAAACCTGCACGAACTACTAACAAGCAAAAATAGGTAGTGCCCCACAGGCAGATCAATCAATTCGGTGAAAATGATATGCACAAACTAATCGATCAAACCATTATCGACCTAGCCAAAACTTATCCTGACCACGTAATTCTGACTACATCTGTCCTCGAAAAACACGGCGACGCCCTCTTAATCGCAAACAAAGTTCCGACACCTCATCTCCCAGCACGGAAGACGAAACGAGAGATAGCACATGTCCATACAGAGGGAAAAAATGTGGATTATTCAATGCACGCAGTACTCTCACCTAAGGATTGCAAAGATGTGATTGAGAAGGGATGGGGTGAAAGAATGACCTTGGCTGGCACATTAAAGATGCCTGCGGAATATCTGATGATATATACTCCGAGAACAGAATTGGAATTGAAGATTGTGAGAGATATCTTAGAGGCTGCGGTTGGGTTTATGACTGGTGCGACGAGACCTGTGGGAGAGTAGCAGATAGGCTATTTAGCCCAGAAAGACATATAATATTTGACGACATAGGGTCTTATCATATCTTTCTTAGTTATACCAATCTGCATTTTTGTGATGAAGCAACATTGGAAACAGTCTTTTCGAACAATTTCTGGACTCACTATCCTCAGCAAGAGTATTCCAAGTGGGAAATGCAATCACTTTTTCTATCCGGTCACAAGCTTAACTTAACCTACAAAAAGTTCAGTTCAGAGAAAAATATTCACAAAAGTTTCCAGAAAAGTATTTATTCCAATATCTAAATATTGAGTATCTGGCGTAAGAAATAATAGCTATCTAGTGTGTTTTTCTAACGTAGACTCATTATCCACCCAAACCATCCCTCCGTTTCCATTCCTATCCTTCCAGGCTTACGCCAGTTTTATTTGTACCGTGTGTCCAATCCCAGCCCATCCCGTCCTGTTCCTTCGTTTCGTTAATTTCTCTTTATTTTGTAAGGGGTATTGTTTCCATCCATCCATAAAGAACCGCAAAGCCAATCCATACGCGTGTCGCCCACAAGACCAAAAGTAAAGTACAGAAGAGGAAAGAAAATACATGCCCAGTTCGTTGACCCGAACTTTTCGTTCCCAACCATCAAACAATCAATCGCCCAAATCGCGAAGTCCAAGAGAGAGAAAAGAATCCGACAAAGAAAGCCACCATCCATCAATGATTCAAAGGATAGGGATGATACTTCCCATCATTGGGATACATATCATCATTTGCACTCCCTACACTCCCACCACTCAACCTCGATCCCCTCGTTCCCGCAACCCCATCGCCAACATTGACCGGCACCTCTCCCCTGATATAAGGCACCTCATCTCTCTCTCTCCTTACATAACTACTCCCCATCGTCATCCCCGGGTATCCTTGTGGTGCACTCGTATATATACTCGGGGAAGTCCCATAGCTAACACTTGCTCTTCTTGCTCGTCCCGGAACAGCATTAGCTCCCATGGAACTCAATGGTGTAAATGGGTTATGCGGTTTAGTTGTTGGCGGAGTACCCGAGTTACGTTTTTCGCGAGAGGAGGTAAGATCTTCGTCTCTGTATCGAGAGCTTGGACTCATAGGATTGACATCCCTTTCATCGTCGCGATAAAGTGGTGAAGGAGGTGCATCTCTATAGCTCGTTCTTCGCCCTCTAGCCTGATGTTGTGCTCTCAGTTTTTCTTCGTCTTTCCTCCTGGCTTCCGAATCGCGTTCTTTTTCGCGGCGTGTCATGGGTGGTGTATTTCTTTCCACTGTTACTGGAATTCTTTCTCCTCTTTCCTTCTTCTCAGGTGTAATCTTAACATTGGTATCGGATCCACGAACTCGGATCCCATCACTCTCTTTCGCCTCTCGTCCATCTTTGGCTCGAGACTTCTCTTTCTTCAAATCTTCAATTATACGGAAAGATTCATCCCTTTCACGACGGAGCTCCCGTTTCTCCCGATTGCTTTCTATCAATGTTTCTTCTAGATTGCGATTCTTCGATTCGAGAGATTTGACACGTTCCTTGAGTGTACTGAGTACTTCATTGAGGGCATGAACATTTTGACTTTGCTGTGCGCGGTCGGCATCGGTATAGAAAGATGCTGAATTTACTGCTGCAGTAGCAGAATTGGAAGAAGAGGAACCAACTCCAGAATCGGAGGGGTGGCGTTGGTGAGAGAATGAGGGACGACGGGGTGTGGGTGTGGGTTTAGATGTGATGGGTGGTGATGAGGGAGTTCCGCCGTGGGCTGAGGAACCTTTGGTGGAGGAAGTGTAGTGCACCTTCTTGACGGGCTTGGAAGACATGCTGAGGATGCTGTGTTTGTGTACAAAAATACGTTTATGTACCACTGTAACTATTTGTGTAACCTGAAAGGTTTGCTCCGAAGCAACTCGTACCAATCGTACGTTGTGTTTCTGACCCGACGATATCAGATTGCGATTGATAAATCAAATGAGAGCGGGAAAATAATTGGATAACGGGTATGGGTATTGATGCAGTAGGAAGTAATCTATTCGTTGCTGATGTGAATTGAATGGATAAATAAGACCAATTTTATTCGAGAATTATTCTTTGCAGGTAAGATAAATGTAGATGCAGATGTAGATGTAGATGTAGATGAGATGGGAATCGAATCAATAAATATAAGGCTGAACAAGAAACACCTCTTTTTCATTCCTCATTCCTGGCCGGAAATTTATCAGATATATACTCCTATTCTACACCGATCTTCAAGCCATCCGATACATAGCCATATCATTCCAATACCATAGCCAACCTGCCCCATGAAAATGAACACAAGAAGGATCAATAAACATATGACTCTTCTTCGAAAACCGGTGTCTATTATCTATCGTTCTTGTGCTTAGCCTAGTACTTGCCTACAAAGCATCCGGGTTTCGAAACAATCATGTACCTTTTCTGCCTTGACTCGATTCGAGCTTCCAATCACAGCCTTAGTCCTGCTGGGGCATTTGACATTTCGCACTTTTCCTTCGCGGCTCATGGCGTAACCGGGGTGGAAAAGGGATGGTTTCCTAATGATCTCACCGAAGTGGATCCTGGCTGATCATCCCGTTGTGCATATTTCTGGCGTAAATCCAATCGCCAGATGATATTTTGTTTATTCCTTCCTGATTTTGTCATCTTCTAAGCATCTAATTACTCGGAGAAGACCCATCTGCCATTTCCGATGTCTCGAAATCATAATGTAAAGGGACGGAGGAAGAATGAAATTACTTTTTGAGCCCCCAAACTTACTGTATTCTCAATTCTTAGCTAAAATCCAGAAATCCCAATTCCATGTCCGAAGCTTTCGTAAACTATCAAATGATGGTGACTCAGTCTCAAACATCCCTTTCCTCAGCCATCTCCTCGTGGCTTTTCTCACGTCTAATCGCGCTGATTGGTTAGCGAACGATCGAGAAAATTAAGCCCTTGTTCTCACAACCCATTTGACCCCAGGAAAGGGGCAGTGTTTTGATGTCTCTCTAGCCTTGTCTATATCGTTTTCTTCTTTCGGGATTTTGAATTCGCAAGAATCGTTCGCAATTAGTCAAAAAACGCCAGGGCAGACCGCCAATAGGTTCTTCCAGGGATAAAATTTAGGCTGTGCCTATCCCTTGACATAAAATTCCTCGATTGTTAATCAGTGAGTGGATTTTTAAGCACATCTTATTGGACACCTCGAGTGCTACATACGGATTAGGTTAGAGATGCCCAATTCGACGAGGATCAGAATCATTTTACCTAGGGTATCGAGAAGACGGGTGCCATGGATAAGAATTAAAGTATTGTCCGTTGGGTCGACGTTGTACTTACAGATGCTAGTATTGTGGGTAGGACGGTTTGAAGTTGGAATGCAAAGTTACGAAGGCTTGAGCCTCAAAGAGTGGACACTTTTCTTTTCTCACTTATTGGGAGAACAGGATAACGATAGGGATGAGAAAGATCAAGGTTATGTACGCACAAAAGATCAAAGAAGAAAATTAGAAAGTGGCATGCGGATTAGACAACATGTCGGTGCGTAAGGTGATGCGGGGTGGCTGCATGAAGTGGTACATTTCGATTGAACAATTCATTGTTTTTTGTTTGTACATGCAAAAGCCCTCCCTGCAATACTTTCGAGATTACTCACACGGTATGTATACCTTTAATTGTTTCTCTTGCTCGACCAATCTTTGTATCCCCGATTTCTCATTTCCAACAATTAACCCACCATCCGTCCATGGCACGGGACTCTACATAAAAACACGTGCAGTTTTCATGACTCTTTCACCCCTCCTTTTCTCCTTTCGCACCCCCGTCCTGCCTATTCTTCACGTGTCAAAAGTCTCAATTGTCTTTTCAGATTTCACGAATCGATAGGCTATGGCAATGTAACCTACGCTAAGAGACCTAGACTGCAAACTAATAAACTGCCGAGACGCGAGTTTGACGTCAAACATGCATCGATTAATGGCAGTGTGATAAGTAAAATGCATTTCTTATCGTTTATCGTTTATGAAGATTAGATGGAGGAATAATGACATGCTTTAAAGCCATTGCTTGTACTCGGTGTGTGGTTCGTTGGATTTCCTGGATGGACGCTGAAAATCGGCGACTGGAATATCGTCATGTCAATTAGAATTCGTTTCTGTGAAAACCAGGGATAAATTCCACGATGTCTATTCTTTTCTTTTTGCATGTACTTCCCCAAAGTCCTTTGCTTATACATCCATAAACCATATATCAAACTATCATAGTACACAACAAGTAACTTCAAGCAAGGTCCCAAATTAACCCTAATTAACCAGTCTGTCCATGCCGCCAAAATGTGCAGGGGCCTGAAGGCAGAACTGTGCAACCCCTCTTGACCCCTCACCTGAACTCTAATAATCATACTTTTTTTCGCTTTACTTTCGAGGCGACTCTCTTGGGTGGAGCACGGATACTCACACATCTCATACCACGAAATGGGCTGAGAGTACATTCGCATATGCCAATTAACGAGAAGAAAAGGCATCGATTTTTGCATTCGGTTGTACATACATAAAGCCCCCTGGGTATAGAATACAAAGCCAAACCAAAGGCACCAATGAGTAAACGCCGATATCATTCAAGAACATTCAACCATTTTCCATTCTCCATCATTCAAGGAATTAAAGTAACAGACAGTGCATTCATTTTGAAGAAGAACAAAAAACAAGCAGACTAAATCTAAGCAGCTACAAGGTATCAAAAACTAAAAGCATTCAACAGCATCGTGAAGAAATCCTCCTCTCTTTTTCGGGGGTTTTTCTAAGATTAGTCTGTGAGTGTTGGTGTATAGGTGTGACGTACAGTACGTATATATTATTCGTCGCGCAAGAACGTTCTATGGTCCTCTTTGGTGCTGTCATTCCCTAGTATTGATATAAAATGATGCTGAAAAAGATTCATGGACATCCGCCTCTTTGTCCTTGTCGATGAAATGTAGCGCACCGACGTCGTCTTGGATGTCGAATCTTAATCCGTAAATCGTGAAGTAGACATCGCATCTATAATCCAATATCGCAACTAGCAACTAGCAACTAGCAACTACCCTCAGACCCCCTCAACACGAAATCCTTTACCCACAATCCACCTTTTCAACTGTCTCAACTTATTATCCTTCTCCGCCAACCATCTATTCCTCTCACTAAGCTTATCATCCATAATTTTGATTAACTCCTTCAACTTCTCAATCTCGGCAACTTTATCCTCAAGTCTTTCTTTCAGTCCCCCTTCACTCAAAATTCCTCTCCCAGTCAAACCCCTTCTCATCAGCCTAACTCTCTCCTCCGCCCTCTCACCCCTAAACTCTGCTCTTTCCCTCTTTCCCTCCAACCTCGCAACTCTTTCTTCAAGATACTCGATATCCCCACTCTTTTCCTCACTCTCCCTTCTCAGAATCTCTTTATCTCCCTTAAGTACATGGACTATATCTTGTAATGCACTATTATCAGAAATCAATTGCCAGTTCCTGCTCTCTGCAACTGTCAGTTCTGTTTTGAGTGATTCGGCAACAGCTTGTAGTTCGGCATTGCGATCTTCGAGGTCGCTTGCTAGTTCATGGACCATGGTGCGGGATTGAGATGTGGAGCGACGGTGAGAGTTTGAGTTTGAGCGAAAAATGATGCGTTCATGGCCGTCACGATTGCGCTCAAAGAATCCGCGAGAGCGAGGACGATCGTAGGACATTTATGATGTGAATTTGTACTTGTGAACCAGGGGTTTGGGGATCGAATAGCAGATGAAGAAGAATTTTTGATGTATCAAAGTAGATTGGTGGAAGATGAGATGTGAGATTGACTATATTTGACAACCACCAGTCAACCAATCCTTCCTTAAAGATAGGTAGAAAATTGATTGGAATGGCTGAATATGCAAGTAAGTATGACCTGCAGCTTCAGAAGCGCGTATGTATGTATGTGTAGAAACAGTATTGGATGATGCACTTCTCAGATTGTTCAATAAGAAGGGAGAGGTTTACAATATATGTATAGTTGCCTACATGAAGAGAACTCACGCGCGTAGTAGATCAGGCATAGGCAAATTACAAAATTTCTCTTGCACATCTTAAGAATATCGAATTTTCGCACAGCCTTGTGAAACATCATGTGGCAAGATTATAATATTTTTGTCATAATTTGGATCCGAATAGGAACCCCAGAACAAGATTAACAAGGCTACGAAAACACGACAGAGGATTTTGGAATATTGTAGAAGAGATTCGCGGCTTCGGCGTCAATTCTCTTCCAGGGATTGTGAGGGCCGACAGGAAAAAACGCCTCATTTGAATTACTTCATTCCGCATCTCATCCGATCTCATTCATGCTTGACAAAGCGATTTATCCGTCTTTGTGTCATATGTAAGTCCATTTCAGGAGAAACTTCTCGCCACATCTTCATTGAAACGTCTAAAAATGGGGACAAGGAACATGGTAAAGTGAAAAGTCTCACTTGCCTTGCAATGCCTATCTCTTGTCAATTTCTCCACTACCCCTCCATGCCAAAAAAAATCATGCATACCCAACAAGTGTGTCCTCCCCCATACAGAAACACAACTCCTGTCGTACAAAGGTCTCCTAAAAGTACCAGCCACTCAGCTGTCCAAGGATAATTGGTTCGCTCAGAGGATTTTACCCCTCCCATAAACTTGCGGGAAACTGAAGCTTCACCATATCCAATAACACTTTTTCCGTGACTTTGACTCAAAACGAAAACTGTCAGAGCATAACCTGCTGTGTGACCAACTTTCGAGCCTCTAGATTACTACACTGTGCGGTGGCTGTGCGACCCCCAAATATAAGGCTGAGGCGTAATGATTTTCGAAAAGACCCGATATCATTTGAACAATGTCTTGCAAAACAATTTCCCAGGGAAGCTTGGCTTCTCAAAGTACAAATGCTGATGTCAGATTTCCCATAGCATCATTCCACATTCGGAACTTTCCAAACCAGCCACTTCTCGAGATAAATCCTAAATATTTCAGCCACATGTTGGTCTGTCGTCACGATGCAATCGTAACATTTTTGGAGATCCATATAATGATTTGATGGCTTGCAAACATGGCTGGAAATGCGGCGGAGTCATCCAGACCCTGTCGCTCAAAATGAACTCAGTAGTCGGAACCGGAAAAAAAGGACAAGACACGGAAAACGTGGTGTGATGGGGGGAAATCTCTGCAAGGCAGAGTTTGTGAAGGCTGGATAAATGTGACACTCGGATGCAATGATGAATAGAAATGCAATATTTTGAAATACGTGATGACGTTTTCTATGCTAGAGAAGAGCTTTCATTTGGCATTGAGTGAGTGCGAGTATCATTCTTTGCTTGAGACACATTATACTGGGCACGAACCGATTGAATCAAACCCGCGGAGCAAAAGCTTGCCGATTGAAGGATAACTTGAAATGCTTGTTTTGGAAGCATGGGAGGTGGATGGATGAATGAGGCTGTACTCTTTCCTCAGCGTGTCGGACACGAGTGCAAAACCCAGGAGATCATGGCACGAGTCGCACGTGATTGAATAATAATTATGCACCGGCAAGGCACACGCAACGATTGCATAAATCCCTCAATGCACCGACAGCACAACAACACAGACACGAGAATTTGAATCTGACATACATACCATACCCCTTTTCAGATCATCCACCGGCTTCCCAGTGTAAAGATCTATCTCACTTCAAGTTCGTAAATGTCTAGCGGTCAAGCGGCTAGTTATGCAAAACAAACGCTGGTGTATCGGATGAGATGCGGTGATTCTCTATCCTATGCTATGCAGATTATTAATGATTGCGCATTGTGGCGGCATCCTGTCATCTTATATACCGTAAGACTGTAGGAGATGCGGCCGCAAGCGGTCATCATCTAGACTGAAGCTTTCTTGAAGAGGCTCGTGTTACCATGCGGGGAAGCCAGCTAAAAGTCATTAAAGTCGACCTTGTTACCGCTGTTCCACATTACCAATGCCAGTACCTTGATGCGGGCTAAGAGCGGGCGGATCGGACACCGCATACACTTCGCCTTGATGGCGATGTCACAGATGTTACCAATATGAGTTCGCAGCAGTTTTGCATATTAGTAGGCGGTGAGTCTATGTATCCTGTTCGCCCCCTGAAATTTGCATCTAAAGTCTAAATAGCAAGCTCTCTTTTTACCCGGGTGCACGTGTAAGTTTGAGCAATGATACTCTTCATTGGACCAAAAAGCCAAAGGAGCTACGCGAGAATTGGGTAAGGGATATTTGAGCTAAGACATCAGAAGCATGATTGGAATTTCTCGAGCATTAAGCAGCCTTCAAGACCGAACACTACCTTGAAAACGAAGTACCTCCCCAGTCTAATGCATCATAACATTTCTCTATATTCCAATTTAATATTTGCGGGCATCGAGTATTCTACAATCACTATGCTCTCAAAATATTGCTAGGAAGTGTAGATTTGACGATCCACTTGCAACAACTATACTAGCCAAATCGATGTACTTCACCGAGCATCTCGAATTACATGCGTTATTCAGACGTCTTTTGATCCATCCACCCACAGCTTCCTCACAAACCCCCAATAAGCCTCTTCACCGCCCTCACCTCTAAACATTTGCGCATGCTTTCCTCCAACCATCTTAATCCTCTCAACCCTATATCCCTTTAGAGTACCTACTTCCCCATGCTCCTCCACGTCTTTCCACTCAATGACTTCATCCTCCTCGCTATAAATATACCCCCTGGTAGCTTCCTTCCTTACCAATCTCTCATCATTCAAACCCTCCAATGGTCCCCTCACCAAATCTCTCCACACCCAATGTGGACAAAAGTGTACGATGAAGTACACTATAGACGCAGCTATTATAGCAATAACCGCTAGGGGTATATACAATAGCCAAGGAAGTTTGGCTCCAGGCACATGGAGGAGCGCGTGCAAATCTCGCTTAAACCACGGAAGGGATGGACAAGAATCATATACGATGCTGGATATAGGAAGCGGTTTTCCTTTCAGAGATTGATACAACCCAGCGATTCCGTAAAATCGTTTAGCACCTCCGTTGCTAATGCAATGGACTAGTAACCTCGCCCCTTGATCAGATGATCCGGAGAATAGAGCATCAATAGCAGGAGCGGCGTCTTTGCGTCGTCGGGCTTCGGATTGGAGGAGGAACTGAGAAGTCTTCATAGTGCAGAGAACGATACGGGAGAGAGGGAAGAGATTGGTATAGTAGGTGGTATAGTAGGAGATATGCTTCGGAGCAGCATTGTTCCAGCTGCAAAGGAGAATAGTTGAAGGATCGGATGGAGGTGGTGCGGTGGTGGTGGAGGGTGTGTAGAGATAGACGCAGGGTGATAGTCTACTAAAAGCAGATAGAGGTTTTGGTTGTACCATTTTTGTTGCACTAGCCATCGCAATTGGAATTCCTCATATATCACAAAAATTTGAACGAAGAAAACAAATAAAAGAGGATGAAATTTGCAGGATGATGATTCTTTCACTTAAAATTTATATCACTCCGTGAATCCGCCGACAGGGCAATTATGCCAAAAAAGCTTTTCAAACCCAGTCCGACCAAGACTGCCAACGCGGCAGTCTTAATGAAGGGATCCTCATGTTGAAGAATTCCGAATTTGTTGAGCAACGGGTTTGCCCCAGTTTGGTGACACTCCCGATACGTACGTATCGCCGGCTCGAAAGCGGGTCTTTTCTTTTGATACCGAGGTCCGTAATTTAGTTTGGGAAAAAATGATATAGAAGTCTATCAACGTCCACGCTGATGTTAACGCTGACAATGAGATAACTATGACGGACTCATTTGAAACTTCTAGCTGAAATTTGATCATTCTAGAAATGGCCACGGAATCACTGAAGCTTTCTTCTAGCACAAGACATATCTTGGAAGCCAGACCTGGAGATATGAAACAGGCAATTTCCGAGATCAAGTAGAAGTCTATGTGTGTTCTCTCAATAATGATGCAGAATCATCAAGCAATTTCAATCACATTTCCATAATTTAATTTTCTTCGGCACAGAGTTAGGAGAATGTCTAGAGCTTACATAAGCTAGACTCCAATTTCATTGCCATTGAACATCAAGTCAACTTCAATGACAAAACAATCAGCTAGAACTCACGCTTCTTCAGAGATTCAATCTGGTGATTGTATCTATGGTCTCATAGAAAACGGCCTATCTGGTATCTTGGGGGTTCAGATACAAGCCTGCCGCATACCCACACTATCTCTCAATTTCAATCAAAATCTGTTTACAGCAGCCCTCAGACTGAAGCGGAAAGCTGTTCAAAATGACACAATGAAGAGCAGCATGTGGAAGAGAAGACAAGTAAGACGAGAAAAATCTATAGGGGGTATACAGACTCCAGTCAGGGCGCGATACCCTATCATATATCCACGCATGCACAAAGATGAACGAGAACTCCTCAGATAGGGTATAAGTATATTGTAACGTTATCATTCTATATCGGTGTAGCGTCTGAGGTATTAAACCATCCAGATGCCTATTTCATAGCCCTTTCCGTTTGTTCCTGACACCAATGAGTATTCTGGAATCATATGTCTAGGCAGGAATATTTGATGTGAAGATGCACCTCAAAGTTTGGAAGACTAGAGGGCTACATGGGGGGAACATGTCGTCTTCGCAGGAAGATGTTGATCTCTCTCGATCTTTAGAGGCCATAACTCAAAAGATTGGGGTCTCGTTCTGGTTAAGCAAAGAGAATATTTTGATTTAGATCTAACGTTATTGATGAGTTATTGGGTAAACGCAAGGTTGAGAAGTCCTTACTAGATATTGACTCTTCCCCCATCAGTAGATTGATTTTTGGATTTCTACTTTCAATCAGTTATCTATCAGCCGAGTTTGCATGGCTCCGTATTCGCAAAATTCCAATTCAAATTTTGATGTTCATGGTCCCACGAGAACTCTTCTGATTCTTCAATGGCTGACACAAAGGTTTTCAAAAACAATCACGCCCCGTCATTTCTTCACCCAAATCGCAGATGGGCCAGCCCAGCCTGATAAGAATTCCACAGAATTGTACAACGAAGTAGATAAATGATGCGAGTAAAATGATGGATATGATGATGGGTGATTTTGGAATATATGGAGGCATTATTTGTGTGACGATGAATTTCTTGTACAACAATTTGGTGAACTGTGAATCATTGAAAACCGTAATATCATCATTATATATCAAGGGAGATCTTACGGCGATGATGCGAATCTTAGGGAGCTGTACTAGCTAGCGAAATGCTGGGTGTTCAGAACCTTAGTCATAGTGCTATCCTGTTGTGATCTGGGAGATGTCAAGAATTTCGAACACACCGGAAGCTACTTTGGCTGGCCAACAGCACGAATTCTGAAGTGTTGAAGGTAAAGCTGTGTCTAATTACAACCTTCGAAAAGGAGCGCTCGTGTGGTTGACAACAATCAATCTTTAGACTGGCCGAAGATGAGGTCAACAACTTCTCATAGTCGTTATTATACAGAGCATCAGAGTGTATCACGTAGTAAGCATCATGATTGACCAGAATGAACATGATATTGGAAGGGATGTAAACGTGACACCGTAAATTGCAGTCCTCACAAGGAGCAATTTCCACAAACTTTTATCCGGTCAACGAGAAATCATCGCTTAATTCATCTCATAAGAATCATATCAATTAAGAGACCGATTGCTCGCATTGACTTCTATGTACTCTCATCCTACTTCTCTCGGCGTGAACATTTACCGTCTCACCTTATTATGATGATGGGAAATTTTACCGCCGGTTCGCATCATCCCGTCTTATTTTTGGCCTTCGGTAGCCATGAACAAATCACCAGAGCAGAGCTCTCCTCTTCGACCCCGATACTCAACCTGATACATGCCAATCATTTGAAAGTACCAGAGGTATAAATCGGTAGCTCCGAGGGGCTTGAATGGAGCAGAGCCGAGAAAAAGAATCACTCTGAAGCAATTGCAAGGCAAAAAGTCTCCATGGCTGGATTAAATATCTTCTTCGTGACGCCGTGTACTCTTATGAACATTCGCCGGTGAAATTGGCTCTTACTTCACCTTTTATGCCAACCGTGATATTGTCAATTTAAAATGAGAGATCCCAAAATTTGTCGACTATAGTCTATCTGACAGTAGAAAGCACAGAATGGCAGCGATGGGAGTTAATCTAGGGATCAAAAAGTACAAACGACAGGATAAGTCCATCAGGCTGTAGATACTTCATTTCAAGTCGCACAGCTGATGGAGTAGCCAACTGCAAGTTCGCTTGCTTTTGACCAATTTCTTAAGTTCTATGAAACATATCCTGCTTCATTCAACCTCTCAATGCAAAGCCTGTATATAGCACCTAGAAGGTGTATTTACCAGTTCCATAGAGATCATTTGAGAGTATACCCGTATATAGTTGTAGTGAATAAACACCATAAATCCCACTTCACTCTAAAAGTAATCACAAGTAATTTACTTCTTGCCTAGTCGAGATGTCATTCGTAATCACCAGCAATCCTTATTTCCCCATATATAACTATATATAGCTGCTCTTCTGCTCTCATACTAGGCCAATCAATCATCAATATCGACCAAAATGCAGAAGCAAGTTCCGGTAATCTACTTGCGCAGATCTGCCAACTAATACCTCATCTCGAAAGACTTTCTCGAAACATTTGCTTTCGTGGATAAATATACAGTTTTCAATACCAGAAGAAACAGCGAGTAAGATGAAAAAAAGGCAATAACTTATCGTCAATGAGACCTCATAAAAAAAGACGATAATATTGAACCATCAACAGCGTTCACTGAATCTTCGATTCTTCACCGAGAGTCCCGATACTTATCAGTCACACATTCTTGACCAAGGCTGCGGAAGATAGCTCTGGCCGAAAGAAAGAAAGACTCTCCAAAACCTATGTCAAGTTTTCCCTTTTTCTCTGCATGTTTTGTTGTAGTTCCAATACCCCGATTTTACAACCCTTTCATACCTGTAGGAACCCTCTCAGAACACTTCTTACTCCCCAAACGACATCAAATTCACCTCGCCCGATCTTCATCACTCCACAACCACTCCCAAACTAGTGGAGTACCCTCATAACCAAAAATCCCCAAAATGATGATTCACTACCAGCTCCACACTTTGAATGATCTTGTATTCCATATGCTCCCTTTAAAAAGGCTACTAAGATCCTCATTAAAGATGCGAGCACTTCCAAAGTCAGACATATGATCTACGAATGTGGGCTGTGGCTAACGATTTACGTTTCACTTAAGCATCATGAACACAGTAATTTTGCCGCTTTTTGGTGCTAGAGGGAATACTCCGCAGACTACTATTCAGAGACGCTGAACGACAGTATGAGTGAAAGAAATGGCAACAAGAATTATAGTAAACGACAGCAATAAATCTTAGACATCAGATGGTCGAGCATCACCCCGGATCTACATACCAGAAGTAGTACAAAACTTTGCACCATCCTACAATTATGGGCCATGCCATATGATATATGGTGCTCTACTGTTATCCATTCATTTATTAACCTATAGAAAGAAGCTAGAGATAACTATAAAGAGGAAATTTGTGCAACATTTGAACATCTCAGCTCCGGGGGTCGGCTCTAGGAACGGAAAGAAGTGTGAGGACTCGGGAGTTTTGGCAATGTCATCGAGCAGATAAGAGCATGTATCCATTGGATGATAGCCACTTCAGACGACACGGTTCGCCTTGTTGAGCATAAGATTTAAGCATATCAATGAATGTAACCATAAGAAAAGGATCAATGAATGATCTCAAGATTTTGCTACGTAATACTAGACCAGACACGATACCCCAGTTGGGGGGTCGTGTAATTGTATTCAGGCCAACACCTCCTACCACTAAAGGACGAATACTTCCTAGCTCTCCTCTCCCGCCATCTCGTATGGCCTTGCGCGCATGCTCGTAATTTATGCTTCTTCTACACATAATCTCATCCCTTTGAGCTTCAGACCAAAATTGGACAAGCTTAGAATAAACCCAAGTGCTATTTTGGGTGTTATACTTGGGATTTTGTACCCTTTGTGGCACCTTAATGAATACTTTCGATGACGCATGTAATTCTAGTATTTTCGATAGTGGCTCATATTCTTGATAGATTGGCAAACCATCTCTAGTTTCTTTTCGAGAATTTACTGATCCACTCTTTGAAATCAAGAAAGTTTCACTTAGGAGCTGATCCTGCAGGCGTGACTGGAGTTGATTTCGAAGAATCCGCAGCCGAAGAAGATTTTGAAGAGTCCGCGCCTGGAATATCCACGCGAACTCTTCCACCTCCGTTTCTACCACCCCTTCTTCCCATGGTTCCACCTCTACCACCACGCGAAGCGGGATTAGCAGGCGATGGAGCAGGTGCTCTTGGGGCCGGAGCAGCACGTGGTACTGGGTTGCCAGTATTCCCCTTTCGTGGCATAACGTGGACGGTGCCTTGAGCCACGGAAACTGGATTTGCAGCCATTGCCTTCTTCAAACCTTCTGCATCTTCAAAATCGGCGTATGCAAAGCCTTTCTTTTTGTCTATCTCAACCATAGAGACTTTGCCAAACTTCTCTAATGCTTCTTTTAGCAATGGTTCGGTCACACCTTGAGACGGATTGGCATGTTTGATGAAAGCTTGTCGGGAAATTTTGGATGAAACGTCCACCTGAGCTTTTGACCCTCGATTTGAAGTAGCTTGTTGAGGTGGTACCGTAGCTGAAGCAGCTGGAGCGACTTTTTGAGTTGGTTTTGGTTGAACTTGGGGAGCAGATGAAGGCTGAGAAGTAGCGGTACTTGGTCGTTGTTGGGGTCTTTGATTATCGGGCTTTCTAAGCAGAACCATAGGTGTGGTTGGGGCGGAAGTAGTAGTAGTCGATGGCTTACTTGTGGATGATTCGGTGTTATGATTTTGATTGCCTCTTCTAGATCTCCGGCTACCTGATTGAGCGCTAGGCTGAGCAGGAGGAACTTTCGGACCTGTGGGTGTTGTAGGAGTAGCTGGTGAAGATGCGCTGTTGTTAGAAGTTGCGGTGGGCTTTTCAGTAGACTCTGCCTTCACTGCACTAGCTGTATCGCGTTTGATACGACGATGCGCCTGAGAGGGATTGAGTCCGAGATCACGTCGAAGCATCCGAACATGAGCAGCGACGACAGCTTGCCTTTCATTTGCTGGAATTTTAGAAGTATCAAGCTTCGGTACATTCTTTTCAGTACTACTTTGAGAAGATGCAGAGGCTGCCGATGAGCTTGATGCAGCTGCTGGTCTCTTGCCAGCTTCCCTGTTTAGAATCTTGACAGCTTCCTGTGTGGCCGCAACTTTGTCGGTTTTGGAATCCTTATTGGACTTCTTGCCATCACCTGTAGAACTCGATCCTTCACTCGTCTTGGACTTTGAAGTTTCCTGTTTCTTCGCCGCTTTGGCTGCTGATTCCTTCGTCTTATTGGCCTTCTTGTCTTTCAAAAATTGAACCAAGGGAGTTACTGTGACCTTCTCGGCCTTTCCTGTCGGGGGATCTTCGCCCTCTGCGCCAACTTCTTTTGTAGTAACTGGATTAGCCAAACCTTCCAAAAATGCCATGAATTCTGGGTCTTGATCAATTGTTCCAGCCCGGGCATCTGTACGACGTTTAAGACCTGCGGGGACTCTGCTGTATGGCGCAAATTCGACAGTGGGTGGTCCAATAAGACAAGAATTTGTGTATGTATTTTTTGCATCTTCAAAACTGGATTTTCGCACGACGTCGGAGAATGGCAAAAGATGGTCACTATTAGTCAAGTGAAGATATGCTCGAGAAGGACGGGATGGTTTTGAAGGGCTGTGTTTTTTTGTAAGTAACGCCGGCGCATTCTCTGCGAAAGTACATACTCTTTAGAATCTTTTCCTGGGTTGTATTGAAACCAATCAACCTTTCCCTGTCCTACCTTCCATTCGTCACCAAGTAATGTGCAGAATTCTGTCTCCGTCAATCCAGGAGCCAGTCTACGGACAATAAGTTTCATTTTGGAACTTGCTGGCTTGCTAGCAGTTTGTTTGGAGGCATTCCCCGATGTCTGGGTAGTTGTAACAGAAAGAACACCATTGGCATTATTGCGAGATCCTGCGGTGGTAGCCATTCTGAATGGCAGTTGTATAACGGGTGAAACTTTGAGGTCGACTTTCAATCAGATTATTGCGCCAAATGATTTGGGGCCTGCGGAACCGAATAATTGATATTCAAGTTCCTTAATCTGTACGGCTTTACAAATTCATGAGAAGCACATTGATATAAAGAATTGCGACGGCCATCTATTATAGAAATCGCCCACTGGTTTGTGTTGTGTTTGTGCAAGTAAGAAACAGCATTATTGTACTCGAATTATGTGATTGCTGATAAGGTTAGACGTGGGGCATCACTACCAAGGGAATGAATGCACTTGGGGCGGAAAGCCTAAACACCGAGAATACGGTCACCATTCACATAATCTATGTCAACTTCTTCGGTTATACTACGATATCGGGCATAGCGCAGCATGATTCCAAGTACTCTCAGATGAGGCAGTTGAAGAGGTATTCTATCAGGAGGATTACGAACACTCACATTAAGACGATTACGACAACTCCCAAGAAGCCAATATCAGCTCTGAAAAGGGCATTGAACAAACCAATTGCGACAATTGCAGAGTGATAATTGTTGAAAAAGCATCCGTACCAACAAGATATACCTGCAACCTCGAGACGATTTTAGAAAACCCGGCAGAACTCAAAGAGGATTCAGGAACGGACTCAACTCTCCTAAAGTCGGGAAATTTTAAGTCACAATATAATCCTACTTGCTCACGTATCCGAAAGGAAGCTCAAGACTTCGCCATCACCTTATCAGAATACACAACATGAGTCCCACAGTACCCCGCCCTGGAGCTGCGAAATTGGGACCTCGTTCCGGTCTGGAGGAGTGGTTAGCAGAGGCGAAACAATGTCATTATCTACCAGAGTGGGCAATGAAACAACTTTGCGAGATGGTAAAGGAGTGCTTAATGGAAGGTAATACCCTTCTGAATCATCACTTTATATCTTCTTGTACTGATCCTTTCCCCAACAGAGTCAAATATACAGCCTGTCGCAACTCCTGTTACCATTTGTGGTGATATCCATGGACAATTTTACGATTTACTCGAACTCTTCCGTATCGCTGGTGGTATGCCAGGCGAGACAAATGTTCAAGCCCCCACCACTATGATCAACACAGATGCGCTCGAACCACCTACTGAGATTACAGATCCAAAGTTGAAGAAGAAGATACGAAGTAGTGACAGTGGTGTGGAAAGCGCAAGTGGAGGAGACGATGATGATGACGATGATGAGCCTCGAGGACGCCCACGTACAGCAGGTGGATCAAACCGCAGTACGAGTTCTGGAGCTGATTCCGGGATTAATGTCAACAATAATCAAGTCTCTGGAAATGGGAACCAAAATTTTATCTTCTTGGGTGATTTCGTCGATAGAGGATATTTTAGTTTGGAAACTTTCACATTACTGATGTGCTTGAAAGCTACGTAAGTGAATCACTTCATTTGGTCAGACCAATCTCTAACAATACCAGGTATCCCGATAAAATTACACTCGTTCGAGGAAATCACGAATCTCGTCAAATCACTCAAGTATATGGGTTCTACGAAGAATGTCAACAAAAATACGGCAATGCTTCGGTTTGGAAATCTTGCTGTCAAGTTTTCGACTTCCTCGTACTTGCAGCAGTTGTTGATGGAGAAGTTCTTTGCGTTCACGGTGGTTTGAGTCCAGAAATTCGAACTGTTGATCAAATCAGAGTTGTTGCACGTGCTCAAGAAATTCCTCATGAGGGCGCTTTCTGTGATTTGGTATGGAGTGATCCTGAGGATGTTGATACTTGGGCTGTTTCTCCCCGTGGGGCTGGATGGCTATTTGGAGACAAGGTTGCCAATGAGTTCAATCATGTTAATGGTTTGAAACTCATTGCTCGTGCCCATCAACTTGTCAACGAAGGATACAAGGTATGCTATCTCATCTGCTTAGATGACAGCGGAAATTTGCTAACACTTTTCAGTATCATTTCGCACAAAAATCTGTCGTTACTGTCTGGTCAGCTCCTAACTACTGTTACCGATGTGGTAACGTCGCTTCGATTATGAACGTTGGAGAAGACCTCAACCCCAAATTCAGCATTTTCAGTGCCGTGCCAGAAGATCAACGTGCAGTTCCAGGTGGTCGGAGAGGTGCTGGGGATTACTTCCTTTAATTATACCACACGTTCTTTACTGTCGATACATTCTCCAATTTCAGGAGATGTATACTGGATATCCACATAGGCGTTTGTTTTTTAAAGGTCGGCATTTCATAAAGGCGTCTGTTTGGTCACATTACCCCTGTACAACAATAGTTGAATCTGGTTTCTGTCTTTTGTTTTTTAATCTAAATCGAGATGATGGGTTTGGCTCGGCCTGATCTGGCTATTTGACACGGAATAGGTGTGGAATGAAAGGTATCCATGGATCTTAGACCTTATGAGTGATGAGTTGATGAGAGATGGTTTAAGAAATACATGGCATGGTATATCAAGCGTAGCGTATAGCATACAAGATGATGATACGAATTCGAGTCGTTGCATTTTAAAAATTTTTAAAGTCATAGCTTATATATTCACATGTGAAATTATGAGAATAGTTCAGTTCAGTTCACCCGCCAAGCATGTGAAGTAAAGGGCTTCCAATTGAAAATCGAGGAAATTCGGGGACCTTTGATGTGTCTTTGCGTGGTGCTAATACCTACCTACCCCGCACAACCGCGTCGTTCTTACTTTGTGACTCAAATTGATAGCTGGATGGATAGATGAGTCTTTGTTGTTCGACATCAATTCTATTGTTGAAAATTCTTTTGTTCGAGATTGACTTTCTCTTGTGAACTTGTAGGATCACATTATATTACATTATCTCTCTGAGCAATTCAATCATACACATCACTTATCCCACCTACATATATATACATATATTTCCCTCATCCATCTGGCCGGAACGCTCGATATTTAGTTACTCATATACCCTTCCAGTCATTTCTCAGTTCCTCAGTACCAAAACATAAAGAAAAAGACAAATAGAAGAAGAAACAAGGAAAATGGTTAAATACTTCCCATCTATCTCTCCAGAATTAGCGGAGTGGGCAATGGCTCAACCGGTTTTCTTTACTGGCTCGGCGCCGACGTATGGGAAGCATATCAATCTTAGTCCGAAGGGGTTGCCGTGAGTGATTTTCTTTGTTGGCTTGTGTTGAGGGAATTTGGGTTGGGGTGATGGAAAGAGGAGAGGAAGGAAGAATGTTGGAGAGAGAGGTGATATGGATGATGAGAAGGGGGCAGTGGGAGGGGAAAGAGGAGAAAGAATAGAGGAAATATATACTGATATTTGATGATTAGAGATGCGACATTCAAGATCTTGGGACCGAATAGTTGTGCTTAGTGAGTTGTTGTTCCCTTTCCCGTTTCTTACTCGTATTGTTTCGATATTGCTGGGGCTTGGGAGTGATGTGTTGATGAAGGAATTTGTCGGAGTGGGATTTGGGATGATAATTCGGGTTTGGTAATGGGGAAGTGGCAGATACGAACATCCGGAGGGCTGCCATGACGTGTGACTTTAGTGGTCATCGATCTTGGTAGTACATGCGGTGATTGTCCTTCTTTTGCCGTCTGAAATTAGTATTGTGGTGTTTTTGCTATTTGTCGATTTCATGCACTTTTGATATCGTCACTGTTTCTACTTGCAGCCCCCAAGTTTGTGAATGATGAATCTGACGCTTTAACAGTATCGATGCCACTGGTTCGGGCGTCGAGACCATTAGCCATATCTATGGTTCGTCCATTCATATCCCTTAATCTCTACCCTCAATCTCTACCCTCTCCTCCTCTCACAATAACCTAATTCCTTACTTTTCCATCTCCGCACTAACTTCCTCCAAGAGAACAGTCGCGTAACAATAATGTTCTGTTCTTTCACCTCCACTCCCCGCATAATGCGATTTTTCTGCACAGGACATGTCGTCGAGTGGAATACACCTGACTTCGCACCTCTATTGGCTAAAATGGGAAAGTCAAATGTGGATGGCGCGAGAGCTGTGATCTTGTTGGATGTTTGGAAGGTATGTTTTCTTTTTTCTCTAACTGATTCTCATGAATGCATCCTATGATTTAGCGCAATATAATTCTGCTCTTGACTTCAAGAAATAGAGTGTTCGAGACAAATGGAAGACATCCAAAAGAAAAGATTATTGACAGGAACATTAGGTCCAGACATCTTGCGGCTACGGCGTTCCCCTTCTCACACCGCTTCCTGTTCAAATTGACAATCCATCCTCTGGTCCCTGGACCGATCGTAAAACTCTAGGCCACTGGGCCGGTCAAAAAGTAGAGAAAAATGAAATGCAGGATTACCAATTATTGAACAACAGTTACTCACATGATGCGTTACCTGGATTGAAGAGTGCACGGAAACAGAAAATGGGGAATAGTGTTATAAGAGTCAAGGTTGATGAGGCTATATTCTGGGGAAAGAGAATTGTGAAAGGGGAATGGAGAGGTGTGATCTTGGGGGTATTGATGGGTTTCTTAATGGCCTTGCTAATGAGAGTTTGGGGCAAGGAGGGAGGATTCGAAAGTGTAGTCGGGAGGGTAACAGAGGTTCGAGAGTTGATGGGGAATTTGACCGGGAGGAATCATCTGGAAGTTGAGCTCTGAGGGGATAAAGTCGCTATGCTTTTCTTTTCTTTAGTTTCGATCTCTTTCCGAACACCATTTTGGAGGTAGTAAATATGACTAGATACTCAGGTGATTTTACATAAAGAAGTTGCTCAAAGTTCACATTGTGTATCGATAGTAGACACAAGTCCTTCCGTCTGCCGGTACCCATGATAGACAAGATGTAACCTTCCACGCGTCACCAACCAACAATCCAATCTCCCCACCCCCCTTGAAGCCTTACCTCTTTCCTTCCACACCATCTCATCTTCCCCAGATCTCCCAAACGGTGTCTCATAAGCACACCGTCATTTCCCATTTTCCATCCCTTCCCATTGCAATTTTAAAATTGTCCGGGGATGGTGGCGTTGGTCAAGCTTTTCCGCCAAGCGTTGCTTATTTGTTTATTTGGAACATTTTTGTCTGGGATTTTGCGGATGTTTGTTCAATTTTGATTCAGATAGGTTTTTTGAATATTGATTGATTGGCGATGCTAGGCCTTATACTCGAAGACGTCAAAGCCCGCGATGAAAAAGGGTGCGGAGTTTCTGATGCTATCTAAATACGGTATCGGTATCAAACTATATATCGATCAATCTATCAAACTCACACCTTTCGTGTTTATCCCTGACAACGGTATCAGAAACAAACATGTCGAAAGATAACATCAGATTTCTTCGGTCCGGTTCGCAGAATCAGAATCTTTTTACGGGGTCTTTCATCCAGGAGTTCATTTCATTAGATCTTAACTTTATTTTGACCCGTCCAGTACGAGGAGTCGGAGTGCTGCTTTGAAGGCTTTCTCGTATTCAATTGCTGTTCCTGGCATTGAGTGGAGGAGAGAAGTCCAGAGGGGTGATATGGGAGAGGTGGACGGCTGGATGGTTAATGCAGCATGGTTGATCTACACTTAGTAATATTTGTTGATGGCTTGGCTATCGAAAACACGGATGATAGATAGAGTCTTCGGTACGCATTGTGGGTGTCACTTTAACTTGGTATATTGTTGTTATTTTGTTTAAATTTTAATATGCGAAGTCAATTTCTTATCGGGCATTGTATTGCTCTGTTTCGAGGTCTTGTGATCATTGTAATTAATATCTTCGTCTTGTTCACATCATTTATTTTCATCTCGAGGGGGAAAAGAAATTGCCGTTCACCGGTGTTCCTTTCCCATGTGGTTACCCCCTCGGATGTTCGTACAAAGTATAGTAAATGTGCAAGTGCTAAGTTCTAAGTATACCCTTTTGGTTAAAGATCCTCAATACATGCATGTAACCTTACTCATCAATCGCACCAAAATTCATACGCCTTGATGCCGTCCGGATATCATCAGGAGACTTGTTCCTGACTGGTGGCTCAGGGTGGCTCACCCTAACATCTCGTATTCCATATCACAACCCTTACACTTACACTTGGGGACCATGAAAAGTATGGATATCTTAATTGGGGTAGGATGTGGTTTGTAGGAAAGATCGGGTTTGATTTCAGTTTATATTGGCTCTTCCTTTTGTTTTGATTTCTTTTGATTTCGAAATTGTTTACCCTCTTTCTGTTTTGCGTCTTTTTAAATAGTTGAAGAGTTGGTGATTGTTTCAACATCTTTTGATTTATACATACATCCAGTCTCTCGTTCTGTTTGTATCGTACGCATTGCACTTGTATTCCGAGTAGTTTACTCTTATTGCATACCTCCATTCGTTACAGTCTTTTGCCCTCGGCATTACACAACATCACGATGAAGTACTCACTTATTCCACTCGTTCCCCTTTTCGCGGGTTTATCTCAAGCAGCAAGTAGTGATGATTGGGCTGGGAGATCTATCTATCAGGTTATCACAGATAGATATCATCGATCCTCAGATTTAGATGCTCCTTGTAATATCACAAATTATTGTGGAGGTACTTGGAATGGCATCACGGAGAATCTGGATTATATCCAGAATATGGGGTTCACGGCCATTCAAATTAGTCCAGTCAATTTGAACATCAATAGTACGACCATTTATGGACAAGCTTTCCATGGATATTGGCAAACTGTAGGTTTTCTCTCAGCAGAGCCTCTCTCTGTTTGCATGCAATTGGCTTGCTATTGGGATAGCGTGGACAGTTCTAACATCAATATTCTAGTCCCTCTACGATCTCAATCCAAACTTCGGTTCAGCAGATGATTTGTTGAACCTCAGTGCAGAACTTCACAAGAGAAAAATGTATCTCCTAGTCGATGTCGTTGCTAGTGAGATGGCTGTTGACATAGGAGACCACAACATGACCGCAGGAACCAAGATCGATTATTCTGCTTTCTCCCCCGCTCCATTCAACGATGAAGCATCATACAACTCATACTGCCCAATCGTCGATTGGCAAAACGTCACAGAATATCAAGACTGTTGGTTGGGATACACCGGAGTCGCAACTCCAGATATCAAAACAGAAAATAAAGACATTGCAGCTGCATTAGGAACCTGGATTAAAGAGCTTGTCGCCAATTACTCTATTGATGGAATTCGAGTCGACGGTGCTAAACAAATCACATATGATTTCTTCCAAGATTTCGTCGATGCGGCCGGTGTATATCCTTTGGGAGAAGTAGATGATGGTGATGCTGCTTTCACTTGCAATTATCAACAGTACACTGAGGGATTGGAGAACTACCCAGTTTATTTCACAACCATTCAGGCCTTTACCGCTGGTAAGATGTCGGGTTTGGTTGATATGGTCAAAAGTGTGGGAGCTTTGTGCAAGTCTCCACAGTATCTCGCCAATTTCATTGAGAATCAAGATCAACCGCGTTTTGCATCTTACAACGATGATGAGACTGTGAGTCTCTTCCATTCATTATCATCTCATACCGGAATACTAACACAAAACAGCTCGCAGCCAACGCAATGGCCTTCACAATCCTCGCAGATGGTATCCCCAAGTACTACTATGGACAAGAACAACATCTCCAAGGCAACTATTCTCCATACAACCGTCAAGCGCTCTGGGAAAGCAAACCAAGCACAACTGCTCCTCTCTACACTATGACAGCTACTCTCAACACCCTCCGTAACCACGCTATCTCCATAAACTCAAACTACATCACCAACTCATCCATTCTACTCCACAGCGACGATTCCACATACGCAACACGTAAAGGACCAAACGGTGTTCAAATCGTCTCCGTACTTTCCAACCAAGGTTCCAAAGGAGGAAGCTACACCCTCGCCATCAACAGCGCCGCCGACGCTGGAACAAACATGACAGAAGTCATCACATGTACATCATACATTGCAAGCGAGAACGGAACGCTCTTCGTTGAAATGGATAAAGGAGAGCCAAGAGTCCTATTCCCTAGTTACCAGATGAATGGAACAGGTGTTTGTGGGTTTGATATTGATGCTAGTGCGGGAACAGCAACAAGCACAGGAACGGCAACGGGAAGCGCAGCTAGTGCGTCGAGTACGAAGAAGGGAGATGCGAGTGGATTGAGGGTTGCGGGGTGGGTGTTTGCTGGTGCTATGGGTGCGTCGGCTTTGGCTTTTATGTAGAGGGCTTTTTGTGATCAGGTTGTAGTTAGGGGGTGGTGAGGGGGGTTGGTAAATTTAATGATTGCTAGGTAGGTATCTGAGTAATGAGCTTGACGTCTTATGTGTGTGCGTATTTGTTTCTAGTTCGATGTACTGCATGCATGCATGTATGTATGATGGGATTGAATTGGATTGGATAATAGATATCATGACAATATTTCTAGGAATGAAAGGTGGATTATGTGGAAAGAAGGTAGGAAGAAGAATTGCAGATATTGATTATATCACACTCTTATTAATTTAATAGCAATTAATTAATTAATCAATTCTACATGTTTATTTTGTGGCCTTCTATGTTATTTACTTATGGGTGCTATTCTGTGGATCTTCATAATAGTGAACAGGACACTTGCTTGCTTGCTTGCTTGCTTACTTGTAGGTTGTAGATTGATAAATTCATGGTCGTCCTACTTGATATACTCCCGCATCTTACACTTACTTGTATGCTTAAGCAGAGTCAGAACCCAAGCTCAAGATGAATAGATGAATTAATTCATGGCCGCTAGCAGTCATTTAAGTAATCATTCCTATGTTTCAGATATACATCGAAGAGAATGTGTTGTATATATCATCTTCCCTACCTACCTCTATAGGTGCATTTGGGAAGTCAAGGATATATCTTATCATACCATATCATATCTCTGCCCATCTCACATAGATCTCAGTCCCACCCTAGCTCCTAGATAAGATAAAAATGAAACCTTAGGAAAGGAAAGAAGGTCTTGGCGTCAGATTGTCAGCGGAGCTTTTTCACCATCTCACGCTTTCTCGCACTTATCTGCTGATTTGACGTGATTTGACGTGATGTGAGGGGATGTGATTGGATAGATCACGAGACTTATGACAGAGAGAAAGAGAAAAAGAAGAAGGCGTATTGTTTTGTTGCACATCTGAAGTAGGAGGAACCTGGTCCAGCTGAAGTGGACTTGGAAGTTGGGATTAAGGATGGAGATTTTTACGTACATGATGTGTGTGATGTTTTTCAACTGTGGTTGGTTGGCTGATGGTCTCACTGCTGAGTATTTGCTCGTGTGTTCGTTACGGCCTCGAATGCGAGAAACAATTAGATGACTTTCTTCTTGGAATCGCGGTCGGTTTGGTGAGTTTGTTTATCCGGAATCTGGTTGAGTGGTCGAAGGTAAAGAAATTGCAATTCGAGCGGGGGGTTGACATCGATGGTAGTTCTATCGTTTTTGTTGCGAGAGGGAATATGGAGTTCCATTTCAATTGGATCTTATGCTGTTGATTGGAGAAGTCGTTCGATATCGAGTATGATGTTGAGATATAGTGACTGGATGTACTGGGGATTGAATCTTATGGTTTGGATGACAATTGGTTGCCCTTTGTCCATCTGATAATGTGGTAGATTCTAGGCAAAGTTGCACATTACTTTTGGCTCTACATCCCGATTGTTTCTCATTATCATTCTGTACACATTTGTCCTACCTCGAGTTTTAATAGTTTCTATTCTTGGAGAGAAGTTACACAAGTCATGCTAACTAAGTATTTCGTCGATCTCGATTGGCAAGATGAAGCTGCGGATTGATGATTCAGATGGGTGCACTTGTACCAAACATGAATTGAAGAACTCTTTCATCTATTCTCACTATTCGATGAAACCTTCGTTCAAATGACGCCTCTTTGGAACTCTCTTTGGAATATACCCCGCACTCACCCCTCATTTATGTCTTTATGGCACGATCTCGTCTTCTAGCTATTGTTCTTACTTTCCTTCCTAATATGTTTCTGGGCTCAGAAAGAGAGCCGATATTTTCTATCATTCATGATTCTTTTCATCCCACAAATTAATTTGACTCACAACTCACAAACAATTCAAACCTCATAAACCATCGTCAAAATGACATCCCTCAAACCTCGCACCATAATAATCATTGGCGCCGGCCCCCTCATGTCCCGCAGTCTCTCCCTCTACCTCGCTTCTCACAACTGGCAAATAATTCTCATCTCTCGCAATCACTCCTCTCTTCTTTCTCTCGCCTCGGAAATCAATGATCTCAACCCCAAAGCACCTAAAGTCCTCGTCCACCCAGGCGACGCCAGTATCCCCTCTTCTCTCCACAAAGCTCTAGATTGGGCTGCCGAACAAGTAGGTGGAAAAGTGGATGTCCTTTGCTATAATGCCGCACACGTGGCTCCGAGTCCTATCCTGGAGTTGAAACCGGAGGCTTTGACGCAGGATTTTAATATTACGGCGATGGGGACTTTAGTTGCTGGGTATGTTTATCTCGCATATACCATAATATCGGAATTGGATCACTGTAAGGAGAAACACTAACTACAACTCTACAGACAATGGTACATGAACCACGCCAACACCTCCCATATTCCCCAAGGCGAACACCCTCTTTTCCTCGTTCCCGGCGGCCTGCTTGATAAATACCCAGATCCCAACATCTCCGCTCTCTGCGCCACCAAAAGCGCAAGCCAATGTCTTGTTAAAATGTTTCAACAAGTTATGGTGCCAGAGGGAATCCTAGTCGGCGCACCAATTGTAGGAGGAGAAGTAGTACAAGAGGGGAAAATGTCTCCAGATCGTATTGTTGATGGGGTTTTTAGACCATTTTTTGAGGAGAGAGAAAGATATAAAGGCAATGAGGGAAAGTGGGTGTTGGAAAGAATCTGGTTACCGGAGGGAGGATATGGAAATGCAAGAACAGGTGAGTTTATTGGAGAGAGGGAGTGGGAAGTAAGGATTGTGCTAATGAGTTGGCAGATGTTTGATAGGGGAACTTTGGTGGGATTGGAAGGGTAGGGGAGGGAGAGGAGGATGAGGTATGAGAATGTTAGTAGTGGGATGGTTATGAATTATGACTGATATGATATTTCAATTTGAGGTTTCAAGGAAGCAAGCATGCTATAATTAGCAATGATGTCGGATGGCAATCCGTTCCTCAGATAATTGGAGACGGCTCTCGGAGTTGTTCTTATTTTCAATAATCTCCTCGCTCGCGATTTCAAGGGAGGGGGTATTGTTTGAATCTAGGATGTATGGATGGATATGAGGCCAAGAAAAAACACTACATATTGGAAAGGACATAAGCATGGAGTTATGAAGCTTGAAGTTTTGCTTTTAGGGTTCTGCAGTATTGATTTATTACCACGAAATTCATAAACACAATTTTTGACGTGCAAGATGTTTCTCACCCCCCAATATGACCTCTACAAGAACTAATAACAACAAGGCTGAATAGACCCGATCTATTCTTGGCATGGAGCTTGTCTTGGTGAAACAATCAAGTCTTCACTGCTTGGTGTCGGAATGGAAATACTCGAGTGCTCGTTTGGGTGTTATTAGAATATTATATTTCTTGGTAGAATGAACCAGGCATTCTCACAAATACTCTCTCTGATTTCACCATACACCTGTTTCTTCTCAACAATTACCCAATTTGATATCAAATTTCAACGACATCAACTAGTAGCTATTGGTTTTTGGAAAGGGTTTGTCCCTTTATAATGCCAATATCAGCACAGAGTCACAATGCTGCTAAATAACGTAAGATCGGCAGAGAACCACTGTATGTAAGGGGAGCGGGAGCCCCAAGATTATCGTGTTCGGGCCGTCAAACGAGCTTGTAACTTTTCTCCACATGATAAGCTTTTGAGCATTTGCGACTTGTTAAGGACGCCATATCATCGTGGCTCTTGGGAGTATTTTTTTATATCACTGGGTATCTTCTCAACCATGATATTTGGTTCTCCAAAAGAAAAGACTAATCAACGAGAGTGAATCCGCAACCAAAAGATCATGATGATTTCCAGATGAAACTCGATGACGAAAATGCAACGTCTACATATTTTTCAGACAAAAGCAAAGCAGAAATATCGGCTTGACTTGCTTTCCAGATTGACACTTGGCATTGACGACATCCATCTGATAGATGATCCCTCGGAAGTTTGAACCAAGCAATGGAGCGCAGTTGGTATATTCACACATACTCAGACCTTACAACATGCAATCCCCGAAAGCAACCAAAATAAACGTTGTTCGAGTATGATCGACTATTGATAAATTAATAGAAGTGCTCAGATCATCTAGATCACTTATTACCAATAATACTAATCAATATACACATCTAAGCACACTATCAATATCATTTTTGGTCAATCATTTTAAAGCCCTATGATACAACATGAATTGTTTCTTGAATCAGGCTTTCATTGATAACATATCATACTTGGCGATTGCTTGGTTGATGAATTGTTCTAATGTTTATCCTTGCCGTTTCATCATTTTCATTGGATTACTAACGTCGTTTCAGCGTCGAACGTCTGGTGTCTGATCAACCGCGGCTGTGTCCTTCCTTTCTATGTATCTACATGATGAGTTGGAAAAGGATAGTGCAAGACGTCAAAACATCAAGTCAAGGATTCCATGTCGTTTCAAAAAATGAAAATCCTAGTGGGTTTGTCGATGATTTGGATATCAGATTGCTGATGAGCGGCATACACGTATCGTTCTTACGAAGAACGGGCAATGTTTTTGAGAGATCAAATGGGAATGTTTTGGGATTTATGCTGATCTTTAGTTCTAGGGAATTGGGCACTACTTTCAGTTTGAACGAATAGCCAAGGAGGATGTTCATGTATCATAGTATCATAGTTGATCTAAGAAAAGAACCCTTCGTCTCTCATATTTACTCATCTCCCATTGATTTCAAAGCTTTCCTTCCTAAATTGTCATTTCAATTTCGTGGCTTGATGAGACACTGCTCATTATTACCTACATGAGTTTCTCCGAAGTTGTGATCTTAATTCATTCTGTATTCCGATTTCAATAATCCAATGAAATCCATTTGTGTACGAATTCTACGATAATTATCTCATACCTCCATTCCATATCCATCATCTCAATGGGAGGGTTCTCTCAGTCGAGATCATTTCTCGGCGATGCTATATCAATAGCGTCAACACCTTTACGGAACAGTTTCGAAATAAATTGTCGATCTCCTGTTACACCACGACGACCATATTCAAATAACAAAGATGGAGTCAAAGGATTATATGTTGATATCGACCGGTCGAGAGGAAGCTCAACATATAGCGAATCAAAATTTCTTCAAACACCGCGGAGTCATCTGTCAACGCCAAACGGTCAGAGAAACATAAAATCCAAAGAATCGGATGATGAGGATGAACAATTCGATTCATATTCAGGTACCACTTTAGTATCACCAGCCGAATCATCAACCTTTCTTCCACGAACTCCATTATACAGTATAGATTCAAGCACACCCGAAATCGCCAAACTCGGTACCTTTTCCACCATAAACATAATAGTCGGCAAAACCGTCGGAGTAGGAATCTACTCAATACCTAGTTCCATTCTCCAATCTGTGGGAAGCGTAGGAGCCAGTCTTACATTATGGGTCGTCGGATCTCTTATCTCCTTCTGCGGTCTTGCAGTATATCTCGACTTGGGGACTGCGCTACCCCGATCCGGTGGTGAACGCATATATCTCGAGAGGATATTTAGACAACCGAAAATGTTGGCCACGTGTGCGTTCATGAGTTACGTTGTTCTTCTCGGATTTTCAACGCCCAATTGTATTGTTTTGGGAGAATATATAATGTATGCCCTTGAAATTGATGCCAATAGATGGAATGTTCGTAGTATTGCAGTAGCAGTTATTACACTAATATGTTTCATCCACGCTCGCTACCAACGAACCGGTCTCCGCATAATCAACATTCTGGGCGTGGGAAAAATGTTCTTCGTTCTCATAGTAATTCTCTCCGGACTCGCAGGCCTCCTGATGCGCATCGGATCCTCCTCCTCTGTCATTCCCCGGCGTCTCAATCTCCTCTCTACAGAATACATCCCCGGAGCTCCGCAACACCTCTCTACCGCCCAACGCAACTTCTCCCACCTCTTCGCAAACTCTTCCACCCAACCCCACGACTATGCCACCGCGCTCCTCAAAATCCTCTACTGTTTCCGCGGCTACTCAACCGCAAATCAAGTCCTCTCCTCCATTCGAAATCCCATCCCCACTCTCCGCACCGCAGCACCTATTGCGCTTTCCCTCGTCTCGGCTGCCTACATCCTCGCCAACATTGCATATTTCCTCGTTGTCGAACTTGACGATTTTCGCTCCGCTGGAGTAGTAGTCGCGGGCCATTTCTTCCGGAACATTTTCGGGAAAGTGGTCGGTGAAAATGTATTACCTATCGCAGTGGTAGTATCGGCTTTTGGAAATATCGCCGCAACGAGTTTTGCGCAGGCGAGAGTTAATCAGGAACTTGGGAGAGATGGACTTCTACCTTTTTCTCAGTTTTTCTCGGGGAAAGAAGGGGAAGCGCCGATCCCGGGATTGTTTCTCCATTGGTTTGTTAGTGTTTTGGTTATTGTCGTGCCTCCGCCAGGAGAAATATATAACTTTCTGGTGGATATCGGAGGATATCCTGTTTCGGTCATTTCGGTTGCTATCAGTGGTGGTTTGTTGTATTTACAACTTACACCGTCGGAAAATTACGTATCGCCTTTTAAGGCAAAGAAGGTGTATATTGTGGTTTTTATGCTGAGTAATTGTTTGTTGTTGATTTTACCGTGGATTAAACCGGCAGAGGAGAAAGGAGATGAAAGGTTTCCTTATTATGCGTATCCGGTTACTGCATTGGCAATTTTGGGGAGCGGAGTGGTGTATTGGGGATATTGGAGGTTGAGAGGGGAATGGATGAGGGGGAGTGATGGCGGGTATAGAGAGAATTTGTTGGGGGATCGAGGATATGCGGAGATAGGGAGAGTGGGGGGAAGGGACTGGGGAAAGATGATTGGATGGAAGGAAAGAAGAATGATGATGAGACGAAGGGCTTGAAGGAAAAGCTGCAGGTTAAGGAGAGTGGGAATGCGACGGGTTCGGGGTGTGCGTGTAATTGCGCGTGCACGACGAAGAGGAATGTGGTTAAGCCGGGGGATAGTGAAGAGAGTTAAACTCCTTTGGCTTTGACGAATGGGAGGAAGTAAAGAGGGAGGAATTTTCTCAGGATTCGGGGTTACGGGTATATATACATAGCGTCGGCGTTTTATGTTGAGTGGGTAAATAGGAAAGAACATGGCACGGGGCGGGAAAGATACCAAAGATTATATTCTACTATCTTATATTCAAAGACTCATATTCACAAAGCCGGTGCAAATGATACAATATGAATCATAATATTTCATTCTCCGTTATCCGTATTCATTCAGCGCACCAGCGAGCTTTTCCATGCGAATACCACTACCTAGATAGCTAGCTAGCTATATAAACTCCTCAACCTACCTTTCCAGGTCCATACAGTGTGCTATAGGAGAGAATGGCCATGAAGTGTCAGGACATGTCATATCTTTGTTTTTGGTTTAACGAACTCTGAAGTTTCCGGATTTCTGTTATTTGTGCTACTCGATATGAGTTGTGTATAATATCTTCTTTGTGGGTTTCTTCTTTCTACTGTCATCGTTGTCATCTCATAACATCTTCCCGTCATTATCAATCTCTTTACCATTGCCCTTGTACGCTCATTGCTATCGGGATTATATACTAGCATCACATCACATCACATCACATCACATCACATGATATAATATCACATCACCACGCAGGGCTCCGAAAATACGTAACTTCAATCTCGGAATTAAAGGCATGTTAAGAATGATTGAAAATGGAAACATGCAAAGTGTCTAGCCACTTTCTATTCAGAACAGAGGTACTCCTTTGCTTAGGATTGTTTTTGCGGTGTTGGTGTTGTGCGAAGGGGAAATTTTATAGTTTTTTATGGGCATTATTTTGCGAGAGGGAGGGGAGGGAGATGGGAAATGAAAGATAAAGGTATGAATTCTGTACATTCAATATTATGGCCCAGAAATCTGTGTAATTGGGGTATATAAAGATCTACTTGCTACCACTTGAGGAATATAAAGATAAAGTACAGCCATGCCATTGATGGGATATGGCGGGACGACTGCTTGGCGTGAGATTTTCAGTAAGCAAGATGTTGTCTTTTTCTCTCTGATTTAGAGGTCTGCTTAGGGCTTGAAACGAGATTCATATTTTGAGTGATAGGTGCTTTTGTCTTCGGGATTACCGTTGTCTTTCATTGAATGATTATGGTCATTCTCCCCCACTGGGGCTCGCAAATTAGAAAGCCGACAGCATATGAATGAACGTGACAGCGATTATTATCTCAAGATTAGGGTAACTGATACATTATGCAGTTAGACATGGTCAATGTGAGAGTTTCTATGCTATCGCAGAGTCTGAATTTATCTGACTGGGAGTACCATATCTCAAGGACTGAAGGTCTTTGCTGCGCAGTTGTGTATCCAATACCTGCTGTATGAATGGTTATATACATGGCTTGAGGGAACAAATGAGGACTACGGAATAAGTATGCTCATTTCTCGATTAGGAAGTGGGTGAATCTGTGAAGACCCGTTATACATATACTTAACTTGGAGAGATTGTAGAGATTGGAAGTTCGTATTCACTCCTCACCATCACCCATTCTTCACACTTCCACTTACTTGTGCATAGCCACATCGAGAAGCCTCCACGCAGCATTGAGAGCACCACTTATTTGTATAAAAGCCTTGATGAATTGTAAAGAAATCCACATTCATCAGTGACCAACCAAGAGCTTCAAGAGCTCATGTCGTGTCGTGAACAAAATTGCTCCAGGAAGTATTTTCGATGGACTTACGCAGAATAAGGGGTGTCTTCCTGTTGTAAAAGAGGTGCATTTCGAATAATTCATGTCATCTGAGCAAGGTCTGACGTGATTGTTGTCGTTGATTTTATTATTTCCATTATTGATTTTCCTTGTCTTTTTAACAGTTTTATCACTTAAGCATACACCAGATAAGGGGAATGTAAGGCATGATCCTCAAATTGGTTCACTCATTACATCTGAGTACTGGGAGATAGACCACTAGACCCTAATGCGGTCGTTCTTATATGTCGTAAAGCTTGAATGATTTTTGCCTCAAGACTATTTAGAGACTTACATCTCCACCTCCATGATTCAGACTCCAGATCTGAAGTACAGTTCCTCATCTACTCCGGGCCTAAGCGCGGGTAACTTGTGAATGTCTCTTGTGAAGGTTAAGCCTTTTATCTTTTGGTCTTGCAAGTACGGCGCATCATGAGTATAGCCCAACACATCCATAGTGAATCACTTTTAGCTCAGAACCTAGTATCTCACTTGCACATTTCTCTTGCAACAAGTGCAACAAGTGAGCATAAAAGGAATATGAGGATCATAGTTGTGGAGGTAAACGAGACACACAGAGCAATGAACGATGCAACCAAAGACTGGAGATGATCGATTGCTGGGTAACTGGATGTGTTCATATTAGAAAGAGAGTTTGAGACGATTATCAAAGGATTCATTCATGAAAAATGAGCATCACGAAAAGGATGCTTTTATTGTTGAACACAATTACTATTGTAATTTGAAGACTAGTTATTATCGTTCGTTAAACTTTAGATGAGACTGCCATTTTGTTTGCTTTGACCATCGAACTTGATCGAAAGACTTGAGAATCATGCGGACCTGACCAGAATTGTCACAGACTAATCACTTACAGAATCAAACAGATCTCCACGCCTTATGCATGTGTTTCCGATGATATACAGGTGTTCAATTATCTTTGAAAAGGTCAGAAGAGCCTATAAATATAAGAAATACTTCAAGACAACACGATGAGTGAATGTTTCCATTGCTCGTGAATCATGATATCGACTTCGGAAATTTTCGATTTCTTTGGAAACTAAAACGATACTTCTCATTCACTACAATCATTAGATAGGTAGATTCATTAACGAGCTCAAGGCATAGCTTCGGGATAAGATAAAGCTAAAAATACTCCCATGGATATAGAAGTCTCCAGTCCCTCAAGCAGGGTTTCTCGCACTTCTTACTGTGCGCTGTATTCTCCACCAAGGTTGGTAAACTTCTTCTAATTTTGAGTAATCATCACTTCTCAGCCTTTCTATGATCTTTTCCTGAGAAACGTTGGTGCTAATTATGCTCTGAATCCCTAGGTAATAGTAGTCCCACTTGTTCAAAAATGTTGTCAAACTACAGCTTTACAATCGAATCAACAAAGCTCATCGGAGTCTGTACTATATGTCATTAGAGAGATTACATCCCAAATTCCAATAATCGTATTTACATGCACAGCGATATTGAAAACGACACAGGAAAAGTCGCATGCCCAAGTTCCTTCTTGTCCTTTGGCTTAAACCGTGTCAGGCTGTCAGTGAGAATGGAAAGAAAGCTTTCCAATTCTTTTTATATTTACATCTTGGGATTTGCCGGCTCTCGGAGACTCTGAAAGGGTACCAGCCCTTGAGTTCTGGGGGAATTATTGTTTCAAATATCCAGAAATGATCTTCTCGAAAGAGATAACTCAATCTCAAAACGTGACAGTGATCCAATCTCTCGAGATTACTAGTGAATGTCCTCGAGAAGATGATGTCATAGATGCTTACTGTGAAGAAGATCTTATGATCTGTTTGAATAGTTTAAATGCAATCTCTATGATCATCTGATTTGATCCATAAATCTCATATTTTCATGACAACCATTAGACTTCAGGTATTTCGCTTGCTTTTTTGCGACGTTGGGATTGAAAAGATGGTCTTTTTCATACAAGATTCCACTGCCTTGTATTGAGGCAGATCTGCATTTTGACAATAATGTTCTCCGTGAAAAGAACCACATTGTCTGTTTTCATTGGTTCTGTCTCATTTCTGTTGTCGGTTGCAATATTCTCGCTACTTGAACTAATTCTACATCTTATTCCGGCGACCGAAGACTTCTCCTCTTTGAAATAAACACGATGTTAGTCTCAGTAGGCAAGATGACAAGCGAGTTTGGACATAAATCTTGCGTGAATCCGATAGCTACTCTTCCTTCTAATTTGAATTTTGAAAATGGAAACTCTCATGATATAAGAAGCCAAGAAAGGGGAGGGAGGTTGAAGTTGTTTGCAGAAATGATTCATCCCCTATGTTCTTACAATTCCCGAGAAAAAGTCAATGGTAGACGACGGAAATATTCATTTCTGGAGTTTTTTTTATTGCATTTGGCATCTATATAAGTTACTATTATCTGTTTCTAGCACTATCGCAGTCCAGTATATACTATCATGTCGATGTATATGACCAAACTCCCGGAAATCGAGAGGTTTTGTGCTTAATCTTACGAAAAAATCTTTACTGGCACCACCTCTTCTGTCTTGAAAACTACCAGCGCCTTTTTTCGAAGCCTCTTATGTGTGACTATTGGCTTCGGTCAAAATTAGCAGTTAGTTTGCTCTCTTATATAGTTATCACATAGGGGTGGTCAGAAATCATTCTGCAAGAGGTGCTTAATTTAAGCGAAGTTGTGTGGACACGATTTTCTAATCTAGGCTTTCATATATCCTGGGGTATATAAGTGGGCCAGATCAGAAGGTGTTCGCTAGCAGCATTTCTTGAAAATAGAAAGTATCGCGTCTATGAGCTCGACCCAGCTCTTTGAATCTAATCAAAGCGTATTTACCAAGGGATTTTTCCCGATAATTAGAATCTTGTGAGAATTCAAGATTTCAGATAAGATCTTGCACTTTTGCATTTTCACTGCTATTTACTCCAATATCCAGCTTCTGGCTTTCAGAATCCTTCATCGTCAAAAGAAATGCATTTATAACCTTTTTTTTTTCGTTTCACAAATCACGGCGATCCCTCGGAATGAATTTATTCCCAAGGTTCTTTTCGGATACACCGTGACGTACCGAGAACACCCCTTTGCTTGTTGCTTCGTTCTTGGCTCTACGTTAAGATACGTATAATTA